CTTGCTGCGCTTCAGGAAGGAGCGGACCGAGTCTGTGGGGTGAGGGATGGGATCAGACATGGTCTTCGGGGTGGGGTCACTGGTCTAATGAGATCATCTTTCACCCAGGCAGAGGCAACATTCAGAGGAAAACTCCTGTTCTGGGTGTCCGAGGGGCCCCCAAACCCTGACTTCTCGACAGCACCTCTGGGGCCTCCCCACCACCCAGAAATAACAGGAAGATGCCTGCCCCCAGCTTCTACCTGAGCCCTGTGTCCCATGTCTCAAGGCCTCCATCCAGCCTTTATTTTATTTTATTTTATTTTATTTTTTCAGCCTTTAAAACCTTGATTTCCCCGTCACACATTTTGATCTGTCCCCATGTGGCTTCACGGATCCCCCCCACTGCCCTGTCTACTCCACATATTCTGCCAAACGCTCCCCTCACACCCCACCTGCCCCACTGTGCCTCTCCACACACACACCCCTGATCTCTCTCCATTTTCTCAGGTCCCACATCCTCTCATTTCTCCCAGCCCCCATTGAACACCCCTTTCCCCATCTACTCTCAATTCCTGCCCCATGCCCCCACGCCCTTTTATGCCATGGCCATCTCCCATCAATATCCCTGACATCCTGTCTGTCTCCCCAATATCTAGGCCCACCTGCATATACTCTCTCTGGCCCCCAAATGCCCCCCATCCATCCCTGTGCTCCCCTGCGCCCCTCCGCGCCCCATACCTTGCCTCTGGTCATAGGCTTCTTGTGAGACCTCATATTTCTCTACCTTGGACACGTCCTCATACTCTCCTAGGCGGGCACCACTGTGATCGATGACCTGCAGTCACAGGAGGGGGGTGAGTAGGGACCAAAGTCTGGTCACGCACCGAAATGCTCCATAAATCTCTCCCATCTAGGAAAAAATACATCCCTGGAAGGCTGAGAACAGGTGTCTACCTTGGCCATCTCCTCTACCCCACCCCATACAAGCCCCAGAGGCTGCATCTGCGGTGGAATGACCCCCACGTGATGGTACCCACATCGCTGACGGCCCAAGTCACCAGTACGGAAGGCAGAGCTCAGGCCTTGCCCACTAGTCCGCTGGCCAGAGAACCTATTTTCTCCACACCTCCGGGACCCTCCTCAGCCGACCCCAACCATGTCTTCTTGTACCACCTCCACCAGTCAGTCACTCATCGCATGCTGAGCAACTCCAAGGCACCCTGTGGGCCCTGTGCTGGATGCTCAGGGCCCTACAAAAACAGATCAGCCCCAGCTCTCAAGGAACGCTCATTCCACTGGGGGTTTGGCCATAAACAAGTGCCGGTTATGTGTTTAACACCAGATGATGACATGGGTCTATGCAGGAAACACACAGAGAGGGCAGTCGGGAAGGCTTCCCGGAGGAGGAGGAAAGGAACACAGGCACCAAGTCCTGGATGTAGAACTGTAGAACAGCAGAGAATTGGGGGTGGCTGTAGTGGAGTGAGCCAGGGGAGTGGGAAACACAACATGTGAGTGTGGACTTTGGTTTTTATCCAAAATGAGATGTGGTAGGGAGAGGGCTCTGAGCCAGGAGGGCTCAGAATTAGGGGTTCACTGGCTCCCTCTGCTACATGTGAGGTGTGAGCAGTGGGGGAGGGGATGGGAGCAGGGAGACTGGGAGGGAGCTGCTGTGATGTCCAGGAGGGTGAGGATGGACTGATACAGGGCGGGGGAGATGGAGGAGGAGAAGTTTAGATTCTACATAGTTTGTGGGTGGAGCCCTTGGGTTTGGGGACAGAGGGGAGTGGGCGCGAAGGGGAGTGAGGGATCAGGTGAAGACTCTGAGGTGTTTGGCTCGAGCCACCTGGCTAGCAGGGCCACATAGAAATGGCCTTTATCTCTGTTCAAGGATCACAAAGAACTACTGTCTTTATTAGGGAGTTTTCTAAGTTTGAGGTTGCTGTTATTTTGATATTTTGAATGATATTTATAAACACAAAAAAAGGATATTAGAAAAATTACAAATTTTTCCCAGAGGCTCCACCTCTGGGAAACCTTCCTTGAAGGTTCTCAGTTATCGGAGGCCTGTCTATACCAGAACCCATGTGTGAAACCCTCCTGTTTGAGGGTGCCACCCCCAGGGCTGACCTACCAGTATCCCTAGGCTAAGATACTGCCCGGGTCACCCCAAAGTCTCAGTGCTAGGGTCAGCATACTTCTGACTGTTCCCACAATGGTTCAGGTTCCACCATCTTATCTGGATTAGGGACGCAGCCACCTCCCTGAGCTCCCTACTTCTCCTTTCCTCCCCAGGCTGTTCCCCACACATAGTCAGAGGGAGTGTGTGAATACCTCAGTCATACCAGTGCCTTCTTAGCACAGAGTCCTCCTTCAGCTCCCACTTCCCTCCACATCAGGTGTGGCCATTCCTCAGTCTCTTGTACCCACTGTGTTTGCTGCCACCTCATAGTTCTGCACATGCTGTGTCTGCTACCTGGAACAGCCCCCTTTCCATTTTTCAGCTAACTCTTCCTATTTTTCAGATCTCTCCTATGGTAGCTCCTCCTCCAGGAAGTCCTCCCAGACTTCACTGATGGGACAGGTTCCCCAGTATAGGCTTTCCCATGCCTCCATCTGCATGACCCTCATCTCACTGACCTTTCCTATTTGTTCCTGTGAATATTTAGTAACATCCCCCTCTCATACTGGACAGAGCTAAAACACCTGCTCAGATGTGGCTCATAGCTATACCTCCGGCGTAACACAGATGATCAATGAGCACTTACTGAAAAATGAAAGAGGCTTTAAAAAAAGACAAAAACCAGCTCTCCAGGCACACTGACTTCTGGAATCATGTAGACTGAGGTAAAAATTCTAGCTACAGTGCGTTCTCAAGAAATTAAATTCCATCCTGAAGCTAAATTTTCTGTGAAACAGGATGAATGATGCCGTCCTCCTAATTTTATTTTATGGAGTCACCCATCATTCAACAATGATTCATTAAGTATCCCTCTCTGTGCCAGGTATTGTTCCACGCACAGGGCAAATAAAGTGGAAAAGGGAGAAAGCTTAAATTTTTTTTTTTTTAAAGATTTATGTATTTGTGCATACAAGAACTGGAGTACAGGCCAGAGGTGCAGGGAGGAGGGCGCGAGGATTCACCAGAGACAGAGTAGGGAGCAGAACAGGCAGATTGACTGAAATACACTGCTGAGGGGAGCAGCGGGTGAGTCAGGAGAGGTCTGCTTCGCCATGTGGGTAGCTCCCTGGCCAGGGATCAAACTCGTGCTGCAGTGGCTGTGGACAGCTTCATAGGTTGCATCCGAGGGAGGTCCCCTTGTGCCACCAGGGAGGTCCCAGAAAGCTTAAATTTTATACTGAGGTTAATGAAGTCTCACACTTGTTAGGCGACCTTTAAGTAAAGACTAGAGGAAGAAGTGTCACATGCGTATATAAAAATAACAATTCAGGGCCTCCCTGGTAGTGCAAGAGGTTAGGTCTCAGTGCTATCAAGCTATTGTCAGCTACTGTGGCATGAGTTCGATCCCCGGCCAGGGAACTGACTCACATGGCACAGCAGACCTCTCCTGTTTCGCTCGCTGCTCCCCTCAGCAGTGTATTTCAGTCAGTCTGCCTGTTTCATTTCCCACTCTGTCTCTGGTGAATCCTCTCACCTCCACACCTCTAGCCCACACCCCAGTTCTTACATGCATAAATAAATAAAAATCTTAAAAAAAAAAAACAACTACCATTCAGGCACAGGCACAGGGCATAGCTCATGCAAAGGCCCTGTGGTGGCGCTCACCTGGGATGCTGTGATGTCTAAGGAGCAGGGGGAGATGAGGAAGGAGGGGATGACATGTATCTCCAGCTTCTCCAACAATGAAACCTCATCCCCGCTCTGACCAGCCTCTTGCTCGAGGCCTCTGTACACTGTTCCCAGCACCTGGCACGCTGCTCGCATCTCTTCTAGGTTGCCCTTTCCTCATTCTCAGGTCCCAGCTCAGACATCTCTTCCTCTAGGAAGCCCTTCCTGATATTCCCTGCGTGGAGTCAGGCACCTCTTATGGCACCCCCAGATGTCTGGGCTTTCCCTGACCCAGTCTAGCCCATTCTGGCTGGCTGTCTCCATGCTGGACTGGGGGCTCCATGAGGGCAGGGTCTATCACACAGTTATCACACAGAGCACGGTACAACCAGCGTGTGTTGAATAAATAAAAGAATGGGGGAAGAAGAATCCCAGGGAGGGAGGTCTCACGTGGATGCGGCAGCCGTCGTCTACTGGGTACGAGCCCAACAGCGCATCCTCCTGATCCAGCTTGCTGTAGAACTTGTCGTCAACGCCATACAGCTCCAGCTCCATGCAAGACGCAGGGCTGCCCACCACCAGCTCCAGTTTGCACTGCAGGGGTGGGCGACAGGGTGGTGAGGGGAAGGCGGCCCGTGGCCCAGCCCTCACCCGAGACCCTGTCCCTTGTATCAATAACCTTCACCCCATGCGGCTCCTCCAAGGGACCAGCTGGTAGGACCCCCCTGGTTATCTTGGGCCCGACCCCCTCAGCCCCCGCCCCCTTGCTCTGGTCTCCGCCCTCTGGAACCTTGATTTTCCCTGGCCCCGCCCCGATCCTTTGGCCCCTCAGGTCCTTCGGGCCCCGCCCCCCCAGGCCCCGGCCCCTATCTCCGACACCTCGCCACCCCCCACCCCTGCATGCGGGAAGCCCCTCTTTCTCCTGTGCCCCGCCCCTCCGGATCCCGCCCCCACGGCCACACCTTGAATTCAGCTATTGTGAGGCTGCGATTGTACCGCTTCTCGGAGCGGAAGCTGTTGAGAGAGCTGCTGATGAAAATGGTCACGGTGGGCGCCGACAGCCCTGTCACCTCCATCTCGCCGCGCCCTGCCGGGACCGGCAGGCGCCCAGTCAGCCGCCTCACACCGGCTCCGCAGCCGCCGCCGCCGCTGCTTCTGGGATACCAGTCCCGCCCCCTGCTCGGATCTGGCCAATCCGCGCTCTCCTACAAGGGGGTTCCGCCAATCGCTGCCGCCTCCCATCCACCGTCAGGAAGAGGGCTCTCTGGTAGGTCCGGCCAATCCTGAGAGGGCGGCCCCGAAGCACAGTTCCTCCAATAGCCGCTCGGGAAACGGCCGGGGCGGGCGAAGGATGAAGCCGAGAGGAAGGACTGGCAAGTTATCGCCGTCTGCGAGCTGTGAACTCGCGCATGTGCACTGGCCTCCAGTTCGCGGAGAGCAATGGCTTCTCCCATTTTTGCTCCGCGTTTTGCGGCCTACGTGGTGCATCGTATTTACAATCGTAGACTGTCCTATAAGCTGGGGGAGCAAGACCCCAAAATTGGAAACAGCTGTTCTAGGATATCAAGATGGACGTAATCAAGGCTCAGCGCGGACAGCCCAGCACAAAGCCCTCGGGAGCCGGAACGTGCGCGCGGCTCCGCCCTCTTTTGGCGAAGCGACGAGGGCTGACCCTTCCCGCGACCCGTCGCGGGGCGGAGCTCTAGCCGCGGGCTCGCCGCGCTGCGCGTCGCCATGGAACCCGACGGCACCTACGAGCCGGGCTTCGTGGGTATTCGATTCTGCCAGGAATGGTGAGGATGGGGAAGCAAGTGTGATGGGGGAGCAAGTAGAGGCCCCCAGATTGATGTCTCGTCCCTCCTCCCCACAGTAACAACATGCTTTACCCCAAGGAGGACAAGGAGAACCGCATTCTGCTCTACGCGGTGAGCGCGACCCCGCGGGGCGCCCGGGTGTCCCCGCTCGGGTCCGCGGGTTCCGGGGTGGCGGCGCCCGACCCCACGTGACCCCTACTCCCTGTTCTTCCCCCAGCCATCCGGGGCTCGCCCCATAACCCTCCCCCGAGTGAACCCACCTTTTCCGTCCTTTCGGCCCCCGACATGGCTCCACACACCCCGTTATCCCAACTCGGAGACGCCATCCCCACAGGAGGAGACCCCGCGTTCCTTTTCTGCCTCATCAGCGGTCTCTGAGACCCCCTTCCCGCCACTCTCTTGCAGTGCCGGAACTGTGATTACCAACAGGAAGCTGATAACAGCTGCATCTACGTTAACAAAATCACACACGAAGTAGAGTGAGTTGGTGGGACCAGGTCGGGGGGACTTGGTGGTTGGTCTTGGGGCCCTGGTCTGAGCATAATTATCCTCCATTCCCTCAGCGAACTGACCCAGATCATCGCTGACGTGTCCCAGGACCCCACGTTGCCACGTACCGAGGACCACCCGTGCCAAAAGTGAGCTGAGTTCGCTGCTGGTCCTGGGAAGGGAGCGCGCCTGGGCGGGCGGGAAGGGCTGAGTGATTGTCCCCCCAGGTGCGGCCACAAGGAGGCGGTGTTCTTCCAGTCGCACAGTGCCCGGGCTGAGGTGAGTGGCACAATGAAAGCCTCCTTGGTATCCCAAGCCTGGTCGTTCCCGCGGGCGGGGATACTGGTACTGGGGGGAACCTTGCCTCCCTTGACCAGCCATCATGTCTGTCGTTTGGGGGTGAGGCTTTGCTGGATGGAGGCTTCTTGTACCCACCTAATGGAGCATCTTTTCTGGCAGGATGCCATGCGCCTGTACTACGTGTGCACTGCTCCACACTGTGGACACCGTTGGACTGAGTGAACCCTCTCCCTGACTTGTAATAAATACAGTGTTTTGTGGATGCATTTCCTCTGTTTATTTGCCTCACGGGTAGTACTCAGGGAGCACAGTCTCAGGAGGCGCGGTGCAAGGCCCGGTGCTGTGCGTAGGCTTCGGGCCTGGCGCTGGTGAAGCCGCAGTCTTCACATACATGCAGCTTCTCTCGCCGCTCCCGATAAGCATAGCTGGCTGGCTGCCCATGCACCTTGGCAAGATGCGCTTCCAGCGAGCAGCGCTGTGTAAATGCTTTTCCGCAAGCTCCGCAGCGGAAGGGCCGGATCCCTGTGCAGTTGAGTGAGGGGTGGAGCACAGACACAGCAGTGGCCTCCAGACCAAATCACCCTATTTTGCCCTTCACTGGCATTCCCCTGTTCCCACTCCAAGCTCGCCAGACTCCTCTGCCTTGGGCCCACCATGTTACTTCCAACTCATGTAGAATGGGCAAAGATTCCTGTGTCCCCACCCTTCTCACCAGGAGGTTCCTTTCCCTTCGGTGAGAGAGGGAGGCTCTCTGTGGCACCCTTCAATCTGGTATCTGAATCCTACTGTCTTCACTCAAGCCTCCTGGTGGCTGAGTCTCCTCCACCCCACATGACAAACAGTGGAAACTCTATGTCCCGGGCACCTCTCCTTTTCATTCCCTCTCCACCCAGGGCCCGCAGACCCTCCCTGTCCTGCCGCTGCTCACCGGTGTGAGTCCTCATGTGGCGCTTGAGGTCGAAAGCATCGTGAAAGCCTTTGCCGCAGCAACGACACACGTGGCGGCGAGCGGGGCTGTGGCACTTGAGGTGCCGGGTCAGCATGCGCTGCAGCGGGAAAGCCTTGGGACAGAGTGGGCAGCACAGAGTCCCAGGGCCTCTGGGAGGAGTGGCCAGCGTGCCCTGCGGGGGCTGGAGGAGGAATACCGGAGGTATTAGCTACTCCAGGTGGACCCTGCCTTCTCTGTTTCTCCGAAAACATATATTTAAGGAGTGCCAGAACCAGGACTCCAGGTCTGGGGAGGTCAGAGGCTGTTACTTGGGCATACAAGTAACAGCAGTCCTTCACCACCACCCGACCCACCCTCACCTTGCTTAGTACAGTTGACCCTTGAACAACAGGGGTTAGAGGCACAGACTCCCACACAATAGGAAGTCCACAGTGAATTTGTAGGTCAGCTCTGGGGTATCCGTGTTCCGCATTCACAGACAACTGAGGTTGGTTGGACAGGCCACACCCCTGGGGATGCCCACCCTGGGGAAACGGCGCTTGGGGTGAGGCCTAAAAGCAAACTTGCGGCTAAGAAGGGGAAGTCACCCCAGCAGAAACAAAGGTCCTGAGCTGGAGGCATGTACAGATGGGTTGGGGGAGAAAGGGGCAGTCAGTATCCTTTGAGGCTAAGAGGGGGTAGGACTGAAATTGAGCAGGGACTTGTGGGCCAACTGCAGACTCACCGCCACCCAAGAGTCCCTGTAGCCAGAAGATTGGGGTGCCGGTGAGCCCCCAAGGCTGCTGCAGTCTGAGGAGAGAAGCCAGAGGGTGATGCTTTGTCTCCCCTGCCCCTCACTTCCAGGCGCAGTGGGGGAGGGCCCACCTGGGACATAGGCGTCTCCCCGGAGCTGGTCAGGCAGATGGCCCCAGTTGGGGGGCTGCGGACGCCGACTCCTGACCAAGAAGGCACGGGGCATCACCTCACGGATGGTGCGATGACTTCAACACTAAGGAGGACTACCTGCACCTGCTGTCAGACCTCAGCCTCAGCGGGACTGTGCCGGTGGGAAGGGAGGGGGAGGAATTCATTCTCTCCATGCAAATTTCAGGACAGGGCCAGGCACCTGACTGGGTGGGATCCAGTTTCCTCTCCTCGGGCCATCCTTTCTCCCTCTCGGCCAGGCTCCAGAGGGCATCTTAAAGCCTCAAGGGACAAACAAGTACTAGGACCCCCAGAGAGGATCAAGCAAGAGGCAGACAGGAGCCCAGGCAGTTCTAGGGGGCGAGGGAACACTGGGGTGTTGAGAGCCTTCCCCCAGTAGTAGGGTCCCTTTGCCAGGCAAATCATTTGCCTCCGGACACCCAACAGCCTGCTTAGTTATTCAAATCACAGCAGCAGTCTGAGGAAGCCAGGAGGGGGCTACAGTGATTGCCTTGCTGGGGAGCTGGGTGGGGGGAGGGGGTGGAGGGACAGCAGGGTCCCACAGGAAAGGGCAGCTGAGCACCCAGGTGTGCATCTTCAGCCACTAATCCTCAGATACCCAGGGCTGATGCCTCAACCAGCTAAAGGACTGCCTGGGTCGCTGCTCCTCCACCCACCCCATGCAGGAACTGAAGGGGTTCAGGTGACACAGCCAAGGGCTCCCAGAAACCTATGCTCTGGCGAGGCTGTGTTCTAGATAGGTCATTGTCTGACCTCTTAATGAGGGGAGAATTTTGAATATTCCCATGCAGTTACTGCCTCTCTATCCCCCCAACAATTTTCTGAGCTTCAACTGTAGGCCAGGTCTACACAGTACTGAAAATGAACTCCGTGTTGTCCTTGGCGGGGACAGGCAGGGATGGGGAAAACCCAGCAGGTCAGGAGTGGGGGAGACTAGAGGGCAGAAGGGAGGCAGAAGAGGCTCCTGCCTGAGGGTCCAGGATGACTTTGGGGTGTGAGCCTTGAAAGGGCTTAGGTTGATGGGGAGAGGGAACAGTCAACACCAGGGTCTGGCTCCCTGAGGCAGGAAGAGGAAAGCTTGAGAAATAAATACTACGGGGCGGGCCTCCCCGGTGGCGCAGGGGTTAACGACAGCGCTATCACGTTATCAGCCACTGCAGCACAAATTGGATCACTGGCCAGCCAGAGAGCTACCCACATGGCACGGCAGACCTGTCTCCCTGCTGCGCCCCTCAGCAGTGTTTTTCAGTCAGTTTGCCTGTTCTGTTCCCTGCTCTGTCTCTGGTGAATCCTCTCACTCCCCACACCTCTGGCCTAACCAGTTCTTGCATGCATAAATAAATCTTTAAAAAAATAAATAAATACTATAGGGCATTTCTCCAAACACCAACATCAAGGATTTTATTTAGGAAAAAAAAATGGTGAATGCTTCTTGGGAGTGCCCCATCCCTACCCACCCCCTTACTCATCCCCCTCACCCTAACCAGCCGTCCTGGCTTTGTTGTGATTCCTTACACGTACGCATTTGTGATCCCCCTCCTCTGGGGCTTTTGCACTAGCTGCCCTGGCTGCCTGGATACTTCCCCAAGATGCCCACTATCAAGTCTCAGTTGAGATGTCAGTTCACAAAGGCCTTTTCTGAACCCTCAGCCAGCCAGTGAGTCCCCTCAGCTTACCTACGGTTAGATACAACCCTAGTGTTTCACTCTCTCGAAGGTGAATGCCACGAGAGCAGACTCTGCCTATCCTGGCCCTCACTCTTCTAACATGGAGAAGGTGACAGTAACCCGGGGCCCAGCAGGGTCTTCTGAACATCTCTGTGGCCCCTGAGGTGCTGATGTCCATGGAGGCAGCAGGGGAATGTGTCCTCATGTTGAGGGTGCGACTCTGCCTGGGAAGACCTAGTCCGAGTCTCAGCAGTATGGACCCAGGCAAGATGCTGGCTCCAAGCCCACTGCCTGTGGCTATGACCACCAGAGCAGGAACTCAGGCAAGTGGGGTTCAGGCCGCAGCAGGCTGTGTGGTGGGACTGTGCTTTAGGAGAGACTGAGTACCCCACCCCCCAAATGGCTTCCTTTTATAGACTTGGGATCCTTGGGGCTTGAGTAGTCACAAAGAGCCTTCTTAGCAGACGTGCCAGTGGCCAGATGCCTGCTGCCTGGGGAAGCTGGTGCCAGTGCTGGGAGCACACGGGATGCTGACGCTGCTGGGGCCAGCTGGGTGGCCTGGGCATTCTGCCTGGATTGTCCACGGGCTGAGCCTGTCTCTCCTCAGTTGCCACTGCTACAGATGGGGACAAAGGCTGGATTCCCTAGGATCCAGTGTGGGCCATGCGTGGGGGCATGGCAGAGTGTATATGGGTGGCCAGTGTCTGGCACATGGTGGCTGTGGCTCCACCATGTCCTTGGACATCAATGAGCCAGGAAAGAAGGGCGGCCCCTCCCTGGGCACCACTGATAGGCTGGGGATAAATGACATGGGAGCCAGGCGCTGGGGTCATTACTGCAGTTTCCACACTTCTTGATACGTTGGCCCGTGTTCCCCATTAACCGAGTCCTGGCACAGGGCCTGGCTTCAGCACACTGGAGCTCCTGGGTGTTGCTCTCACCCTCCCTCCCTGCATTCACCCGAAGGGGGCCTTGTGGATGCCAGGACAGCACCAGGAACTATTCCTCCAAGCCGTCAGTTTATTTGCTTTAAATACCTATATCTTCAGGAACAGCAGCGCCGAGGTGGAGGCGGGCGGCCGCTTTCAGTCCCCCCGTACCTTCCTCCGCACAGTCTGCACCAGAAGCTCTGAGTAGTGCTCCAGCAGGGCGCGCAGATCTGGGCTGGCCAGGGGGCACAGTGTGGGTGGGGAGCGGAGGCCTGGGCTGGGCAGGGCCCGGGCTGAGGCCCCATCAGTCCCCAGCAGCCAGTCGTTGGCCTCTAAATGGCTGTGGATCCAGAGGAAGGTGGAGGTCAGGTCAGACAGGGCCTGCTGCTGCTCGGTGCTCACCTGGTCACTGGACACTATCTGCAAGGGGAGCCACCTGGTTAGGGGCCACCCTGGCCAGGCAGTGCCAGGAAGTCCCCTCTGCCCTTTCCCCTGACCCTGGGGCTTGACTCACCAGGTGGTAAAGGTCCAGGGCATCTTGGAAGGCAGTCTGCAGTCTGTGTACCACAGTCCCCACAGTGCTCAGGTCATGGGGAGGTGGGGGCAGCACCCCAGGCCCCCCCCAGTGCCCAGGGCTGCCTGGGACTAGCGCACCTAGGGGTAGAGGGGGAGCAGTGAGAGAGACACCTACTTTCCAGCTGGCTTGAGAAGCTGGGGTGCCCTGCCTGAACAAGTCCTGTGGTCCCAGAGTTCCCCTCCCCTCCTGCAGGTCTCTGCTTAGATGCCACCATCTCCCTGAAGCCTTGCTCATCATGATGTTTAGAACTGGAGCCAGGGTCACTTCTTAAGCCCTGTCTCTGATTTCTCTTCTTAGCCTGTATCACTTCACACTTGGACACTTTCCTCAGAATTTTGTCTGGGCATCTCCCCCATTAAAGGTGCTCATTTTCTGGGGCCCCACATGGCGCGTAGACCTCTCCTGCCACACCTGCTGCTTCCCTCAGCAGTGTACCTCTGCCTGTTCTGCTCCCCGCTCTGGTGAATTCTCTCACCCTCCCGCATTTCTGACTGTACCCAGTGCTTGTACAAATAAATTAAAAAAAAAAAAGGTGCTCATTTTCTGTAGTCTTGCTTATCACCATGCCCCATGCCCTAGGGCCTAGAACAAAGCTCAACACGTACAAAGCGCTCACCAAATAGTTAAGTGAACGAACGAATGAACGAATGAATGAATGAGTGGCACAGGCCTGCGGCCAGGTCAAGTGTCTGCCTCTGGCGCTTAGATGATGCCTGTCCCGAGGGTATACTCACCAGGGGAGGGCTCCAGGAGGGAGGTGATGCTTCCAGGGACCCCAGGTCCGGCCTCTGGAGGTGGGGGGCTGTTGGGGTGGGCAGGGAGCTCAGGGGTCAGGAGCCTTGAGACAAAGGCAGAGTTGTGGAGTTTTGGGGTGCTCCCATCCATGGGGCTGGAGGCTGGGCAGCTGGCTGCAGTGGCTGTAACGTTAGGCTGGGTGGCCATGGGCTCCTGTGTGGTGGGCATTTCCAGCAGAGACTGGGGCAGCAAGAGTCTGTCACAGACGCTTGAGAGGGTCAGTGTCAGGTTGGCTCGGGCCTCATGGTTGCCCCAGGAGGGGAGGACAGGGCCTTGGTCCTCACTGTCAGAATCCGGTGCTGCAGTGGTAGTGATGGCCTGGAGCTCCTGGCTCAGGGCAACCAGCTCCCCCACGGACGAGGGTCTGCAGAGGGGCCTGGCCAGCTCAGCCAGATCAGGGTCCTCGCCGTCCTCGAGGGAGATGCTGCGTGACATCCTGGCACGGGAGTTGTCTGTGGCCTCCATGTAAGGGCAGGGGGAGGAGTTGCGGCGACCCTGAGCTGGGTCTGGGGTGCCTACGGCTGTGGGTGAGGGAGGATTCCGGTCTGTGAGCAGCAGTGCAGAAGAGGGGAACCAGGGTGCCAGGCCTGTGAGGCCGGGAGCTGTAAAGAAAGCAGTCAGCTCACTCCCCACCCCTGCAACGGAGCCCAGACCAGGGGGCTGCGGTGTCTGAGTGGCCCTTGCTCACCCCACCCGTGGCTGAGCTGGGCACCGAGGCCCATGTGCCCAGAAACCCAGGACTCTCATCTGGGGATGCAGGCACTCACTCAGTGGGTACCAGGCCTCCATGGTCTTGTGGGGGTCCTCAGCCTTCCCTCCAGAGAGGACCTGCAAGCACAGCCCAGAGGTGAGGACAAGACCCCCAGCTCCCCATCCCATGTCCCCAGGGAGGTGGCCCCGATACTCACGCTGGTCCTGCCTGGGGAGGTGTAGCCATTTCCAGCTTTCAAAGCGGGCTCTGCTCTGGACTGGCTCCCCCTGTGCTCTGTGAGTTTGGCCTCTGGGGACTTCATGAGGTGCAGTGGCAGCCGAGCGGGGAAAGTGTGGGTGAATCTGTGGGAAGGAAACAGAGCCAGCCTAGGGAAGTCTGAGGGGACACGGCCTACCCTGGGGGGGATTCAGAGAGCTGGAAGGCAGGATGGGGGTTCACTGGCCCATCAGCTCCTACCTGGATGTCTTCTGGAGGCGAGAGAGGAACTGGGCTGAAATGCTCAGCCGGGGATTAAAGAAGTAGTTCTCGGCCTCAGAGGCCTTCACGTCTCTCAGTGATCCGTGGAAGAGCTCTAGGGGGAGAAGCCGAGGGAGCCCTCAGAATCCCCTCGCTAGCCAACCCCGGGCCAGGCCGACCCAGGACTGGCAGGCAGACCCTCAGACACTGCCAGCAAGACACAATACAAGTGGAGCAGGGAGATGAACCACAGCCCAGTCCTCCAAGTAAAATGTATGCCCTCCCACCCCCCTCGCCAGCCCTGCCAGGGAAAGCCCGCCCCCAGGTGGGGCTCCAGAAGGGCAGGACCCTACCCTCAGGGTGGGCATCTGTAAGCGTCTCGAAGTGGTGGCGGAGGAACTTCTCCTGCTCCGGCGTCTGCGGGAGGGAGCTGCTGGGTATGCCTGGCACCTCGGGCCGGGCCAGCTCTTCCGTGGTACCTGGACATCCTAGGGAGAGGCAGGAGGGGAAGAGGCGGGCAGGAGAGAACTGTCAACAGCATGAGTCATGGCAGACGCCCTGATGAAGACACCAGGTGCCTGACGATGAAGAAAGCTGGACTCGCCCTCACACACCCTGTTGCCACCAGGCTGGGAAGGAAAGGCTGACGACTCTCCTTCCAGGAGAGGAAGCTGAGGCTCAGTGGATGCCAGTGTGGGGCAAATGCTGGGCCAGTTACATATCCTGACCAGCGCCCAGCCAGGCCCAGGCGCTGCCCTTCTCCACGCCCAGCCCCTGCTTACCTGGGGTGGGGGACACCATCATGTCAGACCGCGGCTCCGGGCCCAGCAGTGGTGGGGAGGAATGGATGGTGGCGAAGCTACACTCCAAGTCGGTCTCTGACTCCCCCGAGTCTGCAGGAACAGATGGGGGTGGGGGTGGTGTGGGCAGTGTCTCCTCTCTCGCCTCCAGTACCTCCACTCCAAGGCTGGGCCCTTACTGCGTGAGCTAGGTAAGTGGATCAATTTCTTTGGGTTTCTTTGTCTCCATCTCGAGTATGGGATGACTGTTCCCTTCCCGTTTTTATCAACCAATAAGGTTATACTTGGAGAAGGCAGCCGAACTGGGCTCTCATTGGTGGGCAGTTGGGCTCCAGAATCCTCTGCAACAGCAGAGACTATGTCTGTCTGCAACAGACCCTGAAGTTCAAGTGACTTGGTCAAGGTCACCATCGGTACCCAAGAAGGGGCTGGCTGAACAGACTTGCAAAGACCCTGCCTACCCCTCACTCACCCTCGGGTGGGCTCTGGTCCTTGGAGTCGACAGAGGAGGCCCTGAGGTAGGAGTCACCTTGCTGGTCTCCAGATGCCTCCCCGACCTCCTGCTCGCAGTACCTGCTGCAGTGCCATGGGTGGGTGGGGGGAGAGGGAACGAGAAGACACTAATTAATAAATAACTGGTTCCACCCAGAACCCCTAGATCAGTACTCCTTCCCGCTGGGAGCATTGCCTTGCCTCTCCTGCTCCTCTAAAGGAGACCTCTGAACCTCCACCAGGAACCAAGGTAACTGAGGCCACAGCTGAGGCTGCAGGCCTGGGCTCCCGCCCCATCAGGGCCTTACCCTCTGCCCCACTCTCATTGGCTCACTGGGGGAATAGAGAGCAGTTCTTCCAGTTCTTTCCTCCAACTAAGAATCCCTTTGGCTTGAAGGACACCCACCTGCCTGTCCCTGTGACTGTCACCTCTGCCTCCAGCGAGCAAACGATGAGCTTGTTGGCCTCAGAGGACTCCCTCTGTAGGGGCAGGAAGGAGGAAAGCCCACAGCCATCCCCCTCAGGACTCTCTGACTGTGGGATGAAAGGAGCATGGTTATGTTGAGGCAGCCATGAGGCCTGCAGCCAACCCCGATGACAGTAGCAGTAAAGCTATTAGTGATGATGGCGGCCCCCATAGCTGGGCCTGTGCCAAGTGCCGTGCTCACCAGGGGCTCATCCTGAGGTCCCCTGCACTGCCACCTGCCTCTTTCCAGGTAAGGAACAGGTACGGCTCTAGCCCTTTACGAGTCTATGTGAAGTTCAAGAACAGGAAAACAAACCCCTGGTGAGAGAGACTGGAACAGGCTACCTCGGGTCGGGGTACTGACCGGAAGGCCACCAAGGGGTCTTTGGGGAGGTAGAAAAAGGTGGATGTTTTGATATAGGTGTGTACACAGGCAACAATCCATCGAGTGTGCTCCTACCACTTGTGCACATAACTGAAGGTATGCCACAGGGAAAAAGAAAACTGAAATAACAGAAAAAAAATTTTTGTTTGGAAAAAAACAGAGTAAGTGCTAAAGCAGTGTCAGTACCTCTAAAGGTCCAGGTCCAATTCTTACCACTGGATTCCTGTAATAATCTATGAGAGCTTTTTCTTTAAGCCAAAGAAAACCGAAGCTCAGAGAGGCAAGACTTGCCCCAAGTCACACAGCAGGAAGGGGACCAGGGCTTCACTTGCTCAGACTCAGGCCTGCCCTCGGGAAGAAGCTCTTAAATCCCATGGAACCGCCTCCTAAGACTGTCTGCCAGGGGAAGACTCACTGCGTCAGGTCTGGGCTCACCCTCCTGTCCTTCACCATCTCCCATTGTCCTCTCCCCACCCCTGGAGCAGACAGTCAGCCATATTCCAAGTGAGGGCACGGGCCTCTGGGTGGGCAGTTGTGCCAGGCCAACACGTACTTTGCTCAGCAGGCCCTCTAGATTCTGTGGCTCCACGGCATCCACAATAGAGTCCTCCAGGCTCTCGGGCTTCATGGGGGTGAAGTAGCAGTCCAGGTTCCGGGCATCTAGGATGGTCTTGAGGGGCTCCTGGTCAGCCCGCTCTGCCCAGCGGCCATGCGGCTGGTAGCTGCGCTTGCTGTGGAAGCTGGAGCCTTCTGACACATCGTCGTCTCCCAGCTGAGGGTGATGGGACTGCAGTCAGACAAGGGCTTGCCCACTCCGGCGAGGGCAGGGATGCTGCCCCACTGTCATAGGCCACTTGGCTACCTCATCCCTAACATGGTGAGAACAACTCCTGGTCTTTCCTCTCAAAACCTTCCCAAGACCTCAGCTCCTCAGGCCCCAAACCTTGAGGTCAACCCTCATTCCTCTCCCGTCCCCCAGGTGCCAAGCTGAATTTCGCAGGTAAACTCTGCCATCCAGACACATGCATGATACGGCCACTTCTCCCTGGGCCCCTGGTCCTGCCCAGTGCTGCCTCCTACCAAGAGCGCTCCTGAGAGCCCGGGGAGGGTGGCTGCTTGAGATGATGGGCTTGGAGCCGGTCTGCCGAGGCCCAGCCTCACAGCCTCCATTTGCTAGTGGTGGGACTCTACCAGCTCTAGGCCTGAGCTTCCCTAGCTGTGAAACGGGGAATATGGAAAGCATGAATTCCAATGAGGATTAAACAAAGTAAGACACAGGAAAGCTTCAGGACACGGCCCTCAGAGTAAGCGTGTCGTATGTGATGAGGGGAACTCCGGTACAACAAGCACTGAGCTGGGGGCCTCACAGAGCACGGTCAAAGGCCTGACTGTCCACAGTGGGGGATGGTGTCTAACTTGCTGAATTTTTTTTTTAAGATTTATGTATTTATACATACAAAAACTGGGGTATAGGCCAGAGGTGTGGGTGAGAGGATTCACCAGAGACAGAGTGGGGAACAGAACAGTGGGATTGACTGAAATACACTGCTGAGGGGAGCAGCGGGCAAGACAGGAGAGGTCTGCTGCATCATGTGGGTCACCTCCCTGGCCGGGGATTGAACTTGGTGCTGCAGTGGCTGCGGATAGCTTCATAGTGCTGAGACTTAACTCCTTGTGCCACCAGGGAGGCCCGTAACTTGCTGAATTTTTTACTTTGATCCCAGATCTGATATTGCTCCTGAAATAAACCCTCAAACTAGGGTTTAAGATTCTGCATTCAGCTCCTAACCTACCAGTTCCTAGCCTGCTGCTCCCCCAAGTTAACCACTATGAGTCAACCCAGGTTTCATCTCAGGCTCTCACATCTAATGGAAGGCTCCACCTTCAAAATCTACCCAAGAATCTAAGCACTTCTTCCACCTCACCAACCTCTCCTGCCTGGACTGCTGTGGCCACCGCCCACCCCCCCACCCCCCGTCCTCCTGCTTGCCCCTCAGAGTGTTTTCCCACAGGTGTCACAGAGACCTCACTTAGGTCGTCATGAGCCCTCCTTATTCTGGGGAAAATCTTAGCAGAGGAGGACAATCAGGAGCAGTGAGGACAACCAGCTGGGTCCCTATTCCCTCTCTCAGTCCTTCTCTGTGACTCTGTCGCTTATTCACCATCAACCCAGGCATCTGGGGCTCCCTATGCTTCCGAACACACTAAGCACAGTCCTGCCCCATGGCCTGTGCACTTACAGATTAATCTCTCTGCTTGGAACATTATTTATGTATCTATCTATCTATCTATCTATCTATCTATCTATCTATTTATTTATTTAATTTGAACATTTATCATTTTTTACATTTTTTTAGACAATACTTGCTTCCCACTATCTGCTTGGAACATTCTTTTCTAGCATTCTTCCTAGCTTGGTTCTGCTCAGATATCTCAGTAAGGTCTTTTCGGTTTACTACAAAACTGTCACCTCTTCTCCCTTGACACTCCTTATTTTCCTTCTCAATGTCTTTTCCTCCACAGCACTTAGCAATTTCCAAAATACTCTACAATTTACCTGTCTAATGTGGCCACTGTCCATTGCCCACACTAGAAAATGGGCTGTGAAGGTAGAGATTACTGTCTGCCATGCTCATCACTCTCTCTACCGGGGGCAACGAGACTCCCCTAGGCTAGTGACTCTGAGAATACGCGTGTGAATGACGGGCTTAACTGAGCCTAAAAAAAAAGGGTTCCTGAAAGAACAAAGAGCATGGAGGAGGGCTCCCCGACTTCTCCAGCCCTCAGTCATCCAGCTCTCTCGTGGACTCACCAGTCGCTTTGCCCAGAGTGGCAGCTTCCCATTGGTCAGCAGGCACTGAGGATCTGGAGAGACACAAAATTCAGGAGAAGAGAAGAAACTACCCAACAGACAAATAGGCAATGGGCATAAGCAGGCGGTTTTCCAAAGAGGCAGCACAAGAACTGACAGGCAGCCCACAAGATGGTTGTCTCTGCAATGGGGTATGACTGACCACAATTAAAATGTTTCATAGGGCCTCCCCTGGTGGTGCAGCAGTTAAGCGCTGGGCTGCGAAGCTGCCTGCAGCCTCTGCAGCGCCAGTTCGATCCCTGGCCACCGGTGAGGGTCCCACATGGCATGCAGACCTCTCCTGCTGCCCGCTGCTCCCCTCAGCAGTGTGTTTCATCAGTCAGCCTGTTCTGTTCCCGCGCTTCTGACTGTACCCAGTGCTTGTATGAATAAATGAATAAATCTTAAAAAAAAAAAAAGTTTCATATTACCAAATGTGGGCAAAAGTGTGGGGGAACAGTGGGCTTAGCACACTGTTGGGGGAGCAGTCAGCATAGTCCTTCACAATGCTGAGTGCCCAGTCAGGGGGTAGCTCTAAACACCTGGGTATGCTGCTGGTTAAGAGAGTGGCAACCCCTGCTTTGTATCCGCCAACACACAGCTCAATAAGGTACTTTTGAGGGGGAGCTACAGAACCGCATGTGCTGGATGATAGATTTTTGGACACAGACGTGTTTCCACTGAGGATGTCCACATGGATAGTAATGTTGAGGAAAGGCCTGTAGAGATTCATGCTAAACTGATAAATTGGACAGGAAGCTCGGTGACTGGGTGTGCGGGTAGCAACAAGGATAATTAACTTACTCTGTTGTTATTTTTTTCCAGGCTGAACTCACATATTGCTTTGGCCCACCCATCAGCCATCCAGTTGGCCCCTGCTGTCTACTCTAAAAGCACCCCGTGCTGGTCATTGCTCCCAGACTCTCTCAGGACCCATGGACCTAAGAGAAGACTGCTGGGACCTTCTGGGAAAGTCTCCTGTCCAAAGGAGATTGCTAAGAGGTTGTCCTCTTCACCCATGTTTCTGAGGCCTAGACTGCAAGGAGCCATCTTTGCAATCGTGAGGGCCTAAGCCAAGGTGATATGCAGATGGGGGAGAAATTTATAGAGGGGCTGCCTGGCCTTTCATAAACTTGTTTAGCTGCTACTCTCTCTTTTGCTTGAACAATAGACTATTGTCTTTTGTTAACATCATCCTTTTCCCCTGGACACCCCCCTATATTTTCCTTACCAGCCCTAGTGTTTGCTCAGGTGGTTTGGGATGACCATGACTGAGGTTGGTCAATCACAGTGACTGGCTCAGAAGCAGGTGCCTGACTCACACCAGGAACACCAGTTCAGACCCCCAGACCTGAACTATCGGGGTAGAGGTGCTCTGTTCTCTGGAGTTTATAAACCTAGATCTGTGGGGGATCCAGCTATGCCTGAAGCCAATGCTCTCAAAATCTCAGTTCTAAGCACCAATAATTCTGTTTCCACTGAAGTCGATGAAAAGCTCTAGTTGCTAGTGGAAGACTCCCGACTAAGAGGATCATTGAGCTTCCATACACACCAGGCCCTGAAAACACACCAAGAATCCCTGCACCCACAGATTTCACAGTAGGGCCCCTTCCCAAACCTGGATCCAGGCTCTCTTTGGATGGTGTCTTCATCAGCTCTTCCGGCTCACACTCTTCCTCCAGATCATCCTCCGTCTGCTCCCCAAGGCTCAGGGAGCAAATCTCACTGGGCATGGATGTATACGTCTCCCGTCTAAGGCAGGAATGAGGATGGAAAGGGAGACATACAGGTAAATGGGTGGCAGGTAGAACAAGGGTCGCTAGGCTCCAAATTCTTGGCTTCTGTTCAATATGGTGCTGGGAGATGAGATCACCTGCCACATCCCTTCTGCTAGAAGCATTGCTCCAATAAATGAGAGAGAACAAAAACTGGGCTCAAAAAATAAGACAAACTCTCCAGGAGCTGCAGCAATGGGACAGCAAGTGAAGCTGATAGTAGCTGGGGTCCTGAGCTGCTGCATCCTGTTCTGGGAAGTGGGGTGGGGTATAGCTATGTGATTTTAGCTCCTTCAGCAGACAGGAGACTAAACATGCTTGATATGAGTGAGGCGGGCACCGGAGCAAGGACAGTGGTCCATGGCCAGAGTCAGGTCAAGATCAGGAGCCCAAGGGAATGACCCGCCCCCTGGGTGCCCAGATCTGCAACAGAGCCAGCATCCCCGCAGAACAGAAAGTCTCTGCTGAGGCCTGGTATCCACAGGGAGGCAATGGCAAGACTGCAAGACAGAGAGAGATGGGGACAGATCCTGGGGCAGGAGCGAGGAAAAACCCCCAAACCTGCCACTCAAACTGAGGCCTTCAAATGAAAAAAAATCCCAAGTCAAAAACAGAGGGTGGGGCCTCCCCGGTGGCGCAGCAGTTGAGTGCTGGGTTGCGAAGCTGCCTGCACCCTCTGCAGCGCCAGTTCGATCCCCAGCTGCTCCCCGGCCACCGGAGGAGGGTCCCACATGGGACCGCTCCTGCCGCCCGCTGCTCCCCTCAGCAGTGTGCTTCGGTCCTTCTGCCTGCTCTGCTCCCTGCTCTGGCTCTGGTGAATTCTCTCACCCTCCAGTGCTTCTGACTGTACCCAGTGCTTATATAAATAAATAAATAAATCTTAAAAACAAAAACAAAAACAAAAACAAAATATAGCATGGATTCATACTACATAAAATTGCTCTGGCAGCATTAAAACTTTGAAGTATAGGCCTCCCCTGGTGGCACAGTGCTTAAGCACTGGTTCAATCCCTGGCTACCGGCAAGGGTCCCACATGGCGTGCAGATCTCTCCTGCCGTGCCCACTGCTCCCCTCAGCAGCGTATTTCGTTGGTCTGCCTGTTCTGTTCCCCGCTCTGGCTCTGGTGAATTCTCTTACCCTCCCATGCTTCTGACTGTACCCAGTGCTTGTATAAATAAATAATTTTAAAAAAATTAAAAAAAAACTTTGAACTATATTGAGAAGACTCAAAAAAGTCAAGGATTTTCATTTAAAGAGTAAAAAAAAACCGGGCCTCCCTGGTGGCACAAGGGGTTAAGCACCACACTTTGAAGCTATCCTCATCCTCTGCAGCACGAGTTCCATCCCTGGCCAGGAAGCTACTCACATGGAGCTACCCACATGGCACAGCAGACCTCTCCCATTTCCTCGCTGCTCCCCACAGCAGTGTATTTCAGTGTATTTCAGTCAATCTGCCTGTTCTGCTCCCCACTCTGTCTCTGGTGAATCCTCTCAGCCCCCACACCTATGGCCTACACCCTAGTTCTTATATGTACAAATAAGTAAATTTTTTAAAAAAAGGAAAAAGACATCTCAGTTCCACTGGCCCCTCCATGACCACTTCCTTCCCCACTGCCATCTGCACATGTCCTGGGGCTCTCCCATCATGCTGCTCACAGGCTCCTTGCGCACTTGACGTTTCCACTTCCAAACTCTTTTCATGCGTTATCACCCTAACTTTGTACTGCAAGGCCACCTCCCCACCAGGCCGTGGGCGCACAAAGGGTAGGGCCCAGGACCTCACTCCTCCTGGGGCCCAGGGCGCCAGGCATTCCTCTGGGGAAAGGGCAGACTGGGAATGGACAGGTGACTGCAGGACCTGGGCTGGCCGTTCCACTTCCCGTGCTTCGTGTGCTGCTGCTGCTGCTGCTGCTGCTGCTGCTGCTGCTGCTCCTGGTGGTTGATCTCCAGCAAGTGCTGCTTCATGCAGCTCGTTATCTCTGGGCCCAGGTGCCAGATGAACACGCAGCTGCAGGGGCCAGGAGAGACGCAGGAGGAACAGCAACTATGGAGGCCGCCTGACCTGGGAGCACCTGGCTCACCACAGACCCCTGTCCCCGGCCCTGCCCGGAAAACACACCCCATTGTGCAGGGGCTCTACACCCTGGGTGTGGTCAGGGCATCCCATCAAACCAGGGCCTGCTCTGAAAGTCTCCAGAAGCCAGAAAGAGGGCTGTGAGGAAGGTATGTAGTGAACTGACGGGTGTGCCAAAGGGGCCTGCCTTGGGCACCACTCCTGTGCTGAGGATTTCAGATTTTCACCAGAAAAGCTTCAAGGCAAGTGCTATCATCTCTCTTACAAAGGAGCAAACTGAGGCTCAGAGAGGGAAAAAATGACTGGTTCAAGGCCACAATAAATGGCAGACCTGGGATTTGAGCTCAGGGTTGGCGTGACAGCTGGGTGCATCACTGGAGGAAGTTAGCGGGAACATGCAGAGCCCTCTGCGCAGGCAGCCGTAGGCATGGTGCCCGAGCCACCGCTCAGCACACAGGACAGGTTCTCCCAACCATACCCCTGCTCCCTGGCCCTCAGAAAGGTCCAGCCAGGTGCAGCCTGGAGGCCCTGCCCACCTGTCTCCAGACACCGTGATCAAGTGACGACAGTCATAGGTGAACTTCATACCAGTTACGATTTCTGCAAGCAGCAGAGAGAAGCAATGTTGGTCTGCTGAGAAGGCTGCGTGGGGAGGTGGCCCAAGCAGGAAGGCGGACTCACCTGAATGGCCAAACATCTTGGCAATGCACTCGCCTGAGTAAAAGTCAATCACTGAGATGCTCTTGTCAGAGCAGCTGGTGGCCAGGAAGGTACCAGAGGGGTCCACGTGAACCTGCCAAGGAAGAGGACCCATGGAATACCAGGGCAGCCTGGTGGGTTGAGCATTCAGCCCCCCACTGCCTGAAGACTCTCTTACGCCGGACACTTGGCACAGGGACCCACCCCAGGTCCATATACCCTGGGGTAGTAGGAACTCTCGTGCCCATTTACAGGTGGAACAAACCACAGCTACGGTCACAGTGGCAGCTGGCGTGTGCCGAGCACTGCACACGTGTGACCGGTCTGATAGGGGCAATTCGCATTTTAGTGAGGATGAAACTGGCTCCAGGGCCTCCCTGGTGGTGCAAGGGGTTAAGAACAGCACTATGAAGCTATCTGCAGCCTCTGCAGCACGAGTTTGATCCCTGGCTGGCCAGGGAGCTACCCACATGGCGCAGCAGATCTCTCCTGTCTCACCTGCTGCTCCCCTCAGCAGTGGATTTCAGTAAATGTGCGTGTTCTGCTCCCCACTCTGTCTCTGGTGAATCCTCTCACCCCCAGAAACTCTGGCCTGTACCCCAGTTCTTGTATGCATAAATAAATAAATCTTTTTTTTAAGATTTATTTATTATTATTATTTATTTATTTATTTATTTATTTATACAAGCACTGGGGTACAGTCAGAAGCACGGGAGGGTGAGAGAATTCACCAGAGCCAGAGCGGGGAGCAGAGCAGGCAGAAGGACCGAAGTACACTGCTGAGGGGAGCAGCGGGCGGCAGGAGAGGTCTGCGCACCATGTGGGACCCTCCTTCGGTGGCCCGGGAGCAGCCGGGGATCGAACTGGTGCTGCAGAGGCTGCGGGCAGCTTCGCAATCCAGCGCTCAACCGCTGTGCCAACGGGGAGGCCCATAAATAAATCTTTTTTAAGAAAAAGAAACTGGCTCCAGAGGGGTGTCACTTGTCAAGGTCACAGTCTGAGGAGGCTCTGAGGGAGGTCTGAACCTCAAGCCTGCATGGAAACAACTCCCCAAGTCCAAAGGCTCTGAGAAGGTCGCTACCTGTCCTGGATAACACATGTTCAATGGGGGCCTCCTGGTGAGGGGGACCAGGCTGTTCTATTCCATCCACCTCTGTGTTGCTACCTGGAGTGAAACCACTTACACATGTCCTACTTGGGGAAGTGCTGAGGAAATAAAAAGCTCTAGGGCCACCCTCCCCTGCATGCTAGGCTGGAGTGGGTGCTGGCCAACCTGGAAGCCCCTGATCAGGGGCTCAGTGGCCCGTCAGGGCAACAGACAGACAGGGGCCTGTGTGAGTGGTTTGTAAGGGTCCCTGACTCACCTTCAGCAGGGACCCTTCATCTCCCTGGGAGCCCCTGTAGCACTTCTTCTGCTTCCCGTTCATGGTGCTGTAGACTCTGGGGGGAGGGGGAGCATAATGTAGCCAGTAAGGCCCTGCCCACCCTGACCCCTCTAACCCCCTGTTCCAGCTTTACCCGCCACTGCCTCACCCCTGGCAAGCCCCACTACTGCTTGTTTGTCGCCCATCTTGTGCTTGGAGTGAAACCCCATCTCTGATGATGAGATACTAGCTCAGGCTGAAGTCTCACGTGGGGGTTATATGCTAGGGTATCCGCTGAATTAATGCCCGTGCCCTGCCAGGCAGCGAGGTGAGTGCTTGGCGCCCAGTGTGAATGAGCAGAGGTGGAGCTCTGCCCTCTGCACATTCCCTTGCCCCACCCCTTCTTACTCCCCACATCTTCCCACTCTCAGCTCAGATGCACATTCCCCCAGGAAGCCCCCAGATCCCCAGGTGAGGTCAAGTATCTCTCCAGGCCCATGACTCCCTGGGATCCCCCCATCCCAGCTCTGACCACTCCCTGCTGTCATTGTCTGGTGAGGAGTCTGTCCGTCTCCCACTGGACTGTGAACTCCATGAAGGCAGGGCATGCAGCTGCCCTGCTCCCCTCTGTAACCCCCACAGTGGCCATCCCAGATAGGTGCTCAGTGGATGCAAATGAATGAATAGTTTGAGCCTTATCAGCACCTCTCAGTCACCCAGAGACTTCTGGAGAGCCAAAAGGAAGCCTCTGGCTAGGCCTAGAGAAGGTCAGCTCCAAAGTAACACTGGGTCCCTCCACCCCGTTGCATCTCTACTGACCCGGGGTGGGGGTGGGGGAGGAAAGCATAAGGCTCCTGAGGAGACAGACCTACTAGGTTCCACATAGTCCCCACTCAGAAACCAGTCCAGACCAGTGCCTCACCTCACATTGCGGTCCTGGCAGGCCACAGCCACGTACTTCTGGGTGATGTCAATGTCCATGTCGTATAAAGTGGTCTTCTCTGCCACGTGGTGGGTACGGACAAAGTGCAGTCCATCTGAGCCCTGGCATGGTAGACAGGGCTGTCAGAGGACTCCCCTGACAAGCCTCCCACCTGCCCGAGGCAGCCACCCCACACTACCCGCTGGGCACTGCGAAAGTAGATGCTCTTGTCGGCCCCACAGCTGATCATCTGGATGTCTCTGTTGCCTGGAGGAGGGAGAGGGGTTACATTAGACAGGGCTGGGTCTCTGTAGGGCCTAACAGGCCAAGGATCCTAGCCAGGGAACTGCACAAGGAACTCCTGGAAGTCTGGAAGGGCCTCCTGGAGGAAGTGAGGTGGGTACTGAGTGCAGGCAGGACTCATGAGATTTCAGCTGTGTGTATCTGGGGAGCAGATGGAGCAGGGGCAAGCTAGGTCTCTGCAGAGCAAGGGCAGAGAGAAAGAAAGGCAGGGACACAGAAGGAGCACCATGTCCAACTTGAGATCTGGAAAGGTGTCTTGGGCAGCAAAATGGGGGTGGGACTGAGCAGGGAGCAAGGGCAGACGGTAGGAGGTTCAGGTCATCATGAACAATCAGAACATCCATACATAGCTTGGGCTGGGCTGCGCCTCATGCACACTCTTTCCTGACTGCTTGCGAGCTTGTCTACCTACAGATATAACCCAGGGTTCAAGCGGCACTGTTCTGCCCGGGGCGCAGAGCAGGGCAGAGCTGGGCACTCACTGTGCTTTGACCTGGGCTTCCTATCAGTGCATCAGGCCCGGGGGGGCTGTGTGGAGCCTCTGGAACAGCACCTGCCTGCTGCGCTATCACTGTTTGTGCTTTTATACTTTCTTTTTTCTTTTATACTTTATGTAATAAGAATACCAGATACCACAGAGCTGTGGTAAGGATGAAGAGACAGAAGAAATAGGAAAAAGGGCCTCCCTGGTGGCGCAGCGGTTGAGCGCTGGGTTGCGAGGCTGCCCGCAGCCTCTGCAGCGCCAGTTCGATCCCCGGCTGCTCCCCGGCCACCGGAAGAGGGTTCCACATGGCGCGCAGACCTCTCCTGCCGCCCGCTGCTCCTCTCAGCAGTGTACTTCGTCAGTCTGCCTGTTCTGCTCCCCGCTCTGGCTCTGGTGAATTCTCTCACCCTCCTGCACTTCTGATTGTACCCAGTGCTTGTATAAATAAATAAATAAATCTTTAAAAAAAAAAAAAAAGAAGAAGAAGAAATAGGAAACACCCAGAGCCTTGGTATGACAGCCACCTCCAGGGGTGGGGTGCACGGGCGTGGCCTGGGAGGGTCCCAAAGAAGGCCTGCAAGATTCTGGTTCTGCTTCTCAACCTGGGGGGTAAGTCCTAATATTTAGCAATGTCAGGAGCAAGGGCAAGCAGAACAATTGCTGGCTGTGGACAGCGGGTGTGTCTGTTCTACTTCACACCTACCCACTGAACTTGACACATTCATTGTTTTGTTCTATAAACTATACACAGATTATATTCACTTGTTTTGATATATGTTTCACACTAGGACGTTAAAACACTGACTCCTTCTTCAGCAGGTAGTTACAATGGGTTCCGACAGCTGGTGGCCTGGGTGCGGCAGCCTGGTCAGGGTAGCCTGGTCATGGCAGAGAGCACACGACCTACATTCTCTCAAATTGGCTGGGGCTCTGAGGCTGCCCACACCCTTCAGAGGTGCCTGAAGGACCGACTCCCAGGCCGCTCCCTTGGCTAGTCATCACCTCTCTGGATCGAGACCATTCATTAAAGGTAAGGTCACTGCTGGCCACGCTGGGAGATTACTGATTTATTCTACAGTTTTTCAAGGCTGTCTGACAAGTTTTAGTAGATGAATTTTTAATAGGTCTTTATTAAGACACATCAAACTTTGTTATGATGTTTGCCCAGTTCCCTCTCACCTTACCTAGAGAGAGGCAGGGGTGGAAGTGGGGAAGACACAAGTATCCTTTCAGGCACAACATTGTATTTTAAAAACTCTTCATTGTCAAAACATTAGAGAAGTAAATACCTTCTCTCCAGGAAGAGATTCTGCTGGAGGATGGTCTTGAACAAGTTCTTGGGTACTGACATGTCAAACCCCTACTTGGCCTGCCTTTCCTCCCCTTGAAATCCCTTAAGAAATCCCAGGATCTCCATACCGAATCATTCCAGTCATGGAGGAATCTGACTTCCTGGTTGAACGTGGGCTTCAGGGGACACCCCTGGACAAGCCCCTAGGCCTGCACCCACTGGCCACGTGACTGGTGTCGGCGGTGCAAGGCTCATGGCCCAGCACAGAACTAGTCTCCAACAACCATCATTTAATTTTTTGCCAAGGTGACCGGCACCCATCTCCCCTCTCAAAGAATGACACCCTGATTCCTCTTGGGAGTCCATACTTGCCTCACATCAGTCCTCCTGGATCAAGGTGGAGGCAGACGGGGGCTGTGGACACATAAGTCAGACCTGACCCAAGAGAACAGCCAAAGCCCTGGCACTAATTACTGTTGTGGAAAGGCAGGCTCTCAAGCCAGCACAAGGGAAAGAGGCTCCTGGTTTCTGCCAAACTAACAGGAACAGGGGACACCTCTTTCCATTGGCAGAGACAAGAGAGACGCTGCCCTCCAGAGCAACATGCAGCTGAAGCGGGGGGGGGGGGGGGGGTCCTGACCACTAAAACAATTTCAACCTTTGGAAGCAGCTGTGCCTGAGTCCAGAAAAAGCTGTGCCCTGTTTCCTTTAAGCTAGAGGGAGTTTTGCTGTCACCATGAGGCGCAGGAGGCAGGCAGGAAGAGGCTCACCAGCAAACTTAATGGCCGTGATGGAGGAGGAGTGGTCGTCCAGGGTCTGCTCCAGGTTGTAGTTCTTCTCCACGTTCAGCACGTGGATCAGCCGGTCCCGACTGGCTGAGGCCAGCAAGGTCAGTCCTGTGAAGCGGGGGGCAGCGGGGTGGATTCCTGGGAGGCCACTTTATGCCTTTGTCTCAGCGCGACCCAACTTTCCAGGTCTTGAAAAAGGGATCTTTGGTTCTAGAAACTCAACCAACTTGCCCCAAACCCAGAAAGGAGCTGCGCCTCCATTTTGGATAGTCCCTCCCAGAGCAAGTAAACCCCATAATTTCACATCCGCGCCACCAGTTCAGGGAGGATGGACCTCGATGTGGATGCTCCTGCAGTGGTGCCCCTGGCAGATAGATACCCTGGCAGAGCCCAGCACTGCGTCCTGCTACATGTATCTCTTTGCGACTCCAGGTAAGTCCTGCCAACCTTTCAGCTTCCTGCAAACACCGCCCCCTGACTCCCCGAGCTCTGGTAGGTGGGCCTCAGCCAGGCCTTCCTGATCACCCACCACCATGCCGCCTCCTGTCACCCAGCATACCCTGCTAACCCCTCAGACAGAGCCTACCATAGTCACCTGGTATGTCTGAGGCGTAACACCTGACCTGAGGCAGAGGGTGCTGAGGGAAAGAAAGGTGTACTGACTGAAGAGAGACTAAAAAAAAAATTCTGATGGGCTGGAGAGTGCAAGGAAAGAGCATGGGGATAAAGGTTGTTCAAAATCAGGATGTAAAAAATTAAAAATAAAAAACTCCCCAAAACCAAAAAACCAAAATCAGGATGTGACTCCCCCTATGCTATGTTCCTGTCCAGGATGGATTACTGGAGTCAAACTGAGGAAAATAGACCAAAAGGAAAGAAAATCTATATAATGACAGAGCTGTGCTCAGCAGGAGGCCAAAGTAATAAAGGCATATTCAGACTGTGGAAAGGTTCCAAAATAAAGGCCACAGGAGAGACATGTCAACTCAATCGTGAATCTGATTGGAGAAACCGAGGTGCCATAAACGACAATGTCGGGACAACTGGAAGACTGTGAATAAGGCCCATGGCCAGATGACAGCAGAGCGCCAAAGTGAGAGCCCCAGACTTGACTGACAGACTGGTCGTGTAAATGGGTGTCCTCATCCCTAGCAGATGCGTGCAGAAGCGTTTACAGATAGAGGCATCACGTCTGCAACTTACTCTCAAATGGTTTAGCAGACGAAAAAATTAGTCTGTGCTATTCCTTTATTGTGTGTGTGTGCTGAGTGTGTGCATGTGTGTGTGCATGAGTGTATGCATGAGAGTGTGGGTGTGAGCGTGAGAGCACATACGCAGAGAGAGAAATGGAGAGGGAAAGCAGATAGAGCCTTGATTCTTTGGCACTATTCTCTATAGTGCAGTCACCAGGGCAGGTTCAATTTAAAAGAAAAATGAGGGGAATCTGAGTAAAGGGGGTGCAGGTATTTCATTAATAATATACCTGCAATTCTTCTGTCGGCATCAAACTTTCCCAAAAGAGTAAGGTTAACTGTCAACCTATCTTTTCCAGTAGTTCATTCATACATTCTCTCATTCAAGATTCTCTTTAGCACAAGCACTGTTTGGGGTGCTGGGGCCAGAGAATCAAGTCAAGTCCTGCCGTGATGTTTTGCTTTCAGGAGTCCCAGCACCCTGGGCCCAGGGCCCAGCAGCAGGGGCTTTGATTAAACACAGGACCCTCATTGTCATTCATACCCTACCAGATACCAGCGCCCCCTTTCTGTAGCTCTGCCAGATGGGTTGCTCCCCACCTTCCCACCACCACGTTGCCCATGGGCTCACCCGTCTCAGGCTTGGAGTACTCCAGGCAAAGCACCTCAGCGTCATGGGCCTCCACCTTGACCAGCTCATCCATGAAGTGCAGCTCGTGGATCCTGGGAGACATACGCTGCCCGCTGTACCCTGCCCAGAGTCCCAGGCCCCCACCCGGGTGTTCAGAGTAGCCAGGGAGGCAACATGGGGGACTCCCTACCCTGGCCAACTATTCTAGAGATATACAACTACTTCTTCTCATCCAGAGGTGTGGAAAGGAATCAATGCCCTCTGGGAGTGCCTCTGCAGGTTAGGGCAGAGCTGTACGAGAGGCAGCCCCTGGGATGGGTGAGGGTCACAGGTCATACTCAAGGATGGGACCGGTGGGTGACAACATTTGACTCCAATCTCTCCTTCTTAGAGTCTCAAATCTACACTTCCCTTGTTCTCGCCAAATGAAATCAATCCATAGGTCACTCAGGACTGAAATAAGAGACAGTCATTCTCGCTCCTCTGCTCTTATCTATGTGCTCTTAGCTGAGCCAGGCCCTGGCTCCTCTGGCAGTTAACCCATCTGAAGATGGAGCTAATAACAGCACTTTCACCAGCGGGTCAGTGAGCAGATGAGATCAGTCAATAACACAGCATCAGGCCAGCAGCCCGCCGGCGGGTAGAGCTATGCCCACATCAGCTTGTTATTGTTATTGTTTTTGCTGTTCCTGGCAGACAGCTGCCAATATGGGCAGTCCCCTCTCCTCCCCAGCACATTCAGTTTGCCTCATGTAGCGATTGATAGCAAAATAGCTGCCAGAATTTAAAGGTCAGACTTTCACAGAAAAATACCTGCCCTTTCTGTTCTTTTTGGACAATGGGAATGAGAGACTACTTGGAGCTTGTCCTCCTGGGGCTATAAGGGCTGCTGTTTACGGGCCCACATCAGAGTTCCCGCCCGATCTGTTCCTCCTGGAGAGCCCCGCCACCAGGGGGTCACAGATGTCATCTGTCATCTTAAAACTGGTCCCTGTAACAGCTCAAGTCCTGCCAGCACCTACTGGGCTGTAACCTCTGTAGCTGGGTAGACAGGCCTAACCCTTCAAATGTCTTATCATTCTGGCCTCTCTTCCAGGGCTGCCAGAACCTCCAAGCTCCAGCTGGCATTCCGCTGACAGTTGAGCAGTAGCACCACATGGCTGGGGAAAGTGTCACCTGTCCGAGAGTCATGCACCTGTGCCTGTCCACTCTACAGCCAAGACTGCACAGCCCAGCTGCAGAGGACCCGGCAGTTACCCTGATCTCAGCCCCTCCGAGGTCCCCAGGGGTGGCTGGTTGCCAGACTGCCACTCAACCAGAGAAGACTGTTACCCACATTTCTAATGGGCAGTTGGAGAGGCCGAGGCCCAGGCTTCTCCCCCCAGCGTGAGTGACTGAGCCCAAGCTGGGGGTGTATGCTGGACACCCTCACAGGGGCCACTTGCCTCAGATTTCCACTTCGGTCGCCTGAAGCCAAGTGCTGGCCATCAGGACTGACCTGCATGACTCGCACCCCGGCCTTCACGTCCACGGGCGTCCCGCTCTCGCTGCCCCGGTCTGGGAAGTGTGACAAGTCCTGCAGGTGCTGGATGTCATTCTCCACGTACACTACTTTCAGCAGGGTCTGCGGGGGCAGGGGGCAGGGCAGTGAGCAGCTCTGCAGCACCTCTGCAATTCTGTCCCCCATTCTTTGTTATTAACAGGGCTCCAATTTCGACCTGGGAGGTTCACCACTCAGAATAATAACTGAGTCTTAGCCTGCATTGCAGTAAGATGAGGTTGTGTGAATAAATTCCAGTCAATGAAATATAAAGCAAGCAAGAACTCTTCTGCACCCTGGAACTTAAATGCACTAACTGGAGCTCCAGCAGACACACTGCATCATGAGGACCAAATGGCAGGGTGGGGAACTGGAAGGCTTTTGGGTCCCTGAGGTCTTTTTTTTGTGTGTGTAGAAGACCTGGGGTGTAGGCCGGAGGTGCAGGGGGTGAGAGGATTCACCAGAGACAGAGTGGGGAACAGAACAGGCAGACTGACTGAAATCCACTGCTGAGGGGAATAGAAAGCAAAGCAGGAGAGGTCTGCCGTGCCATGTGGTCACCTCCTGGGCCAGGGACCGAACTCAGGCCATTGCAATGATAATGCTGAGACTTTGCCACTAGGCCCCAGGGAGGACCCTGGCTCTCTTAGGTCTTTCTGCAGCTGCAAAACCAGCCTGGACTGGTTGCTTCCACACTACTTTTATGAGTCAGAAAACCTAGGTTTACTTCTTGTTTTGAGTTTTTCTATTGTGAGCAGTCAAATCTAGCATGTATGTCACAGGTGCAGAAGAGAAGATGTGGTACTGGGTTGGGGTGAACAGAGTAGTAAGGCGTGTTGGTAGCACGCCTCTGCATTAAGGAGCTCTTTTGTATTAGGCGCACTGATCTCTTTCGGGTTTTCCAACTCGCCCAGCTTATGCCACCTCAGGGCCTTTGCACAGGGAATACCCTTGGTGTGGGACACTCTCCCCTCCCCTCTGACTCCTCCCAATGCTCCGTGACACAGCTTAGTTGTCCTTTTCTCCAGAATGCTGCCCCCATGCTAGTGATGAGCTTAAAGGAGTGCTGCAGGTCCCGCTAGTGAGGAGCCACCTCCCCTCAGGTGACTGCAATTGCACCTTATCAGGCCTGTGATTGCACCTCATTCTGTGGTGACTGCGGCCTCCTCCCTAGACGGGGTGTCATGAGGGTAGAGGGGTCTGTCATGGATGGGTCCCCAGCATGCAGCTCTGCACCAGACTCATAAGTGTCTCAGAGTAACTGAATGTGTGAAGCAGGTCTCTGCCCCTCAGAGGGGCACCTCGCTGACCTGCCATTTCTTCTTCAGCAAAATGTTATCTCTTAGCCTCCCTGTACAGCTCTCTGGGGTCTTGCCAGCCCTCTCAGGGACCCTCACTTGAGGCCTCACCGTGTGGCTGGTAGACAGAAAGGGCAAGTCCCTGTCTGGTTTGGCCCATCGGGTGCTTTCCCAGGGATTCTGATTGAAGACTTGGGGAACAATTTCATTTCTATTGATTGTGTTGGCTTGCCTGGAGTAAGCACCCACACATGCCTGGGCAGCAGGCATGGATTGGCAGAAGGAAGCAGAAAGGACAGACAGTGCTACCTTAGACAGAGAGAGGGAAGCAAGAGAGGGGGCCAGAAAATGACCCACTTTGGTGCCCCAGTGAAGTCTAACATGTGGGTTCCATCAGATTCCATCCTGTCCCCACTTTCTAGTTTAAACTTGGTCTGTGGTCCCCCTAGAAGATGGTTTACAGTGACGTCACTCACGTTGCTGAAGATGTTTTTCTGCCAGTGAGAGTCAGGGCTGCTGTCCATGTTCCAGAAGCGGATGGTGTTGTCTGAGGAACAAGTCAGGAAAGATCCTGATGGCAGACAAGCTCTCTGATCTTCAAACTCAGGATACACCTACAGTCCCCAGAGGACAAGGCACAGGGTGACTCTTACAGCCACTTCAACGATAGCGCTATGACATACTGTTATATTTGGGTGGGGAAAAAAATGTCAGTCTCAGTAAACAGCCATAGAGGAATGCCTTCTGGGTTAAAAATACACAAGAAAAAGAACATAAAATACTACCATATATCGTAGGCCCATTTTCAGCCCAGGTCACAAGCATCCCTGTGAATAAATTTCCAAGAAAAATGGGCAGCTTAGTCAAAACCCACTAAACACAAAAGGAAACAAGGTACCATGAGCAGAAAGCAGCAGAAATAACAGCCAAGCTTCAAATGTTGTACTATCAGACAGTACATAAAGTAACTATTAAATACATTTAATGAAATAAAAGAACTCTCACAGTGTTATAAATATGAAGAGCCAAGGAGAAACGCTAAAGGATAACCAAACAGGTTATCTGAAAAAGAAAAAAATATTTATACAAATGAAAAAGGAAACATTAAAAAATAAAGATTAAGACAGTTGGAAAGGAAATGAAGCCGACTGAAAGATAGAACTAAAAGCATTATTCAGAATATAGCTCAGAGAGATGACACATAAAGAGATTTCAAATGTAGAGGGCTAGGTTCTGAGATGACAGCAGCAGTGCAGATTTTTTTTTTTTTTTATAGAGGCATGTTTATTTATTTATTTATTTATTTGTTTGTTTTTTGTTTATACATGCACTGGGTACAGTCAGAAGCGCGGGAGGGTGAGAGAATTCACCAGAGCCAGAGCGGGGAGCAGAGCAGGCAGAAGGACCAAAGTACACTGCTGAGGGGAGCAGCGGGCAGCAGGAGAGGTCTGCGCGCCATGCGGGACCCTCCTCCGGTGGCCGGGAGCAGCCGGGGATCGAACCGGCGCCGCGGAGGCCGCGGGCAGCTTCGCAACCCAGCGCTCAACCGCTGCGCCACCGGGGAGGCCCAAGTGCAGATTTTTTAATCCAAAATCCCCACACACAAAAAAAGAGCTTCCAGAAAGCAAATCCAAAGGCCCAGACATCAAACCCCGTGTCTGTAAGAGACTCATCTTATATGCAAGGACACGTCCAGCTTTAGAGTGAAGGAGTAGAAAAATAAATTCCATATCAACAGTAAATGAAAGGATGGGCCTCCCCGGTGGCGCAGCGGTTGAGCGCTGGGTTGCGAAGCTGCCCGCGGCCTCTGCGGCGCCAGTTCGATCCCCGGCCACCGGAGGAGGGTCCCACATGGCGCGCAGACCTCTCCTGCCGCCCGCTGCTCCCCTCAGCAGGGTACTTTGGTCCTTCTGCCTGCTCTGCTCCCCGCTCTGGCTCTGGTGAATTCTCTCACCCTCCCACACTTCTGACTGTACCCAGTGCATGTATAAACAAAACAAAACAAACAAACAAACAAACAAACAAACAAATAAATAAATTAAAAAAAGCATGCCTCCTCTATTAAAAAAAAAAATTAAAACAAAAACAAAAACAAAAACAAAAAACAGTAAATGAAAGGAGCTATTGGTATCCATAGTAATATCAGACAAAATAAGCTTTATGTCAAAAATTGCTTTAAGTGACAAAGGGCATTATATACTGATAAAAGGGTCATCATCAAGAGGACATAATAAGTATAAAAATATACCCACAAATGACTAGAGAAATCCAAGTCACCCAAATGCAAAGATGGCTAGAATAAAAAACAAACAACAAAAACCAAACAAATATTGGCAAGGATGTGGAGAAATTGGAACACTTATATGTTGCTGGGGGGCACATTAAATGGTACAGCTGCCGTGGGAAAGTTTGGTGGTTCCTCAGAAAGGTAAACAGAGAATTATCATATGCCCAGCAATTCTGCTCCTGGGTATATACCCAAAAGGACCAGAAACATGTTCAAACAAAGCTAGTGCATGAATGTTCACAGCAACATTATTCATAAGAACCAAACTTGCAAACAACTCAAATGTCCATCAGGTGACGAACAGATAACAAAAGTTAGGATAATCCATAAATGGAATATTATTCAACCTTTAAAAAGGAATGAGGTACCAAAAATTGGTACATCATGGACGAGCCTGAACACATTATGCTAAGTATGCTAAGTAAAAGCCAGACACAAAAAGCATGCAGTTTATAGTTTCATTTACATGAAATATTCAGCACAGGCAAATCCATAGTGACAGAAAGCAGACAAGTTGTTGCTAGGTGCTGGGGGAAGTAGGGAATGGAGATATCTTGTAATGGGTACAGAGTTTCCTTTTAAGGCAGTGAAAATGTTCCAGAGCTAGATAGTAGTGATGGTTGTACTGTGAATGAACTAAATACTATTGAGTTGTCCATTTTAAAATTATTTTAACAGTAAATTTTATGGTATATGTGTTTTACCATAATATATATGTGTACACTTGCCCCCCGCCACCAATAAATGAAGTCAAGAGAGAGAGAATATAGTACATAATGGCTACATGATCAGATCACATAGATTCAGTGTAACTATCTTAAAATGATTAACTGGGGCTATTTTAATCCCATCATCCCTTAAGTCTCTGGGAACTAGAATTCTGGGAGGACCAGTCCAATATCTATGAGCATCCCTGGCACCCAAACTGTGATTCTGAAATCCCAACTTGAACTGAAAACCAAACCAAACCAAACCAGGGTTTCCTTAAAACTAGCTGATTCCAGGTCTGGGACAGGAAATATACAAGATGAGCCCAGAACATCTTGTTATCCCAGAGAGCAACACTACAGGGTCGTGTCCAGGGATTCAGGAGTCAATATAAAGAGGCTTCAATCGGTGGAAGATGGAACAGTCTTGAGTTCCAATCATTGCAGTGGATTAAAATATATCCAACATATTAAAATATATGAGTTTATAATGATATTAAATAGAAACAACTAGTTACCTTTAGAGGGAACTGGGAAGTAAAGGGAAAGAATCAAGCATTTATCCTGCCTTTCCTATATGAAGTGTACCACTGGCTGACCAAATGGTAGATGAGGGGAAGTGTCTCTTCATATAAGAAGTCCAACTAGTAAAAAGAAATGATAGAATTAGAATATCGCTGTATTGCAAACCCGGATGACAAACGGATCTAGGCACTGAGCAGCAACAGCTGCTAACCATCATCGATAAACTGTACATTTCTCTTGTGTGGTCTTCTAGATCTATTTTCTTTTTAAATGCTGAAGGCTAGAGAGATAGGATCTTAGAATTACACAAGAAGACAGAGAATGGAGTTGAGGCAATTCTTAAATCCATACTCGCTGAGAATTTTCCAGAAGTGATAAAAGGATCTATCCATAGATACTTTTGAGGACATCTATACAAAAATAACAAGCAGATGCAAAAAAGTGAACTAAAAGACACATAGGGGTGAGGATAAAGGCAGGTTGGGGGTGGGGAGGTGATCAAAATAGCCTTTAGCCTTATCTTTAGTTTTATCACCTTTTATGGAAGGCAAATCATATTCACATACAAATTTTTAAAATATATTTCTGTTAAGTGAGAAAAGTGCTTTGAGCGGAAACATCAGATCCATGAAGACAGAAGGATTCAGTCAAAAGGCTGACTAATGCTTCCGCGAAAGAGGAGTTATTGCTCCCAATTCTGAATTGTGCCACTGAAAATGTAATTTCTTTTCAAAATTTTTTAAAGATTTATTTATTTTTGTCCAGAAGAAGTGGGATGTAGGCCGAGGTGTGGAGGGGGGTGAGAGGATTCACCAGAGACAGAGTGGGGAACAGAGCGGGCGGATCGACTGAAATACACAGCTGAGGGGAGCAGTGAGGGAGACAGGAGAGGTCTGCTGTGCCATGTGGGTAGCTCCCTGGCCGGGGATCGAACTCAAACCCCATGTAGTGCTGAGACTTAACCCCTAAGTCACCAGGGAGGCCCCTGAAAATGTAATTTCTCTAGGACAAACTCTCCTAGCAGTAGAGTGAGAAATTTTCAGAAAAAAAGTAAAATATAATTCTTTCTCCTTCCATCATCTTTTCTGTAAGCGGTACTTAGAACAGCATTAGAGAATTAACTATCCCCACAGCTTCATTCTCCAAAAACAAAAACTTCATCACTTAAAAACAAACAAACAAACAAACAAAAGGCCCCTCCCCAGCAAGCTCTCAAGGTGCATCAGTTCCTGCTCTAGCTGAGGGTCAAAGGCCTCACCCCTTGGCCCCTCCACCCTTCTCTTTCTCCTTCTCCAGGGAGCACCTGCTTCTTGTATGTCTGTCCTGGGCAGGCACATGCTTGACTCTCCAGTGAGCCCTACAAAAGTAGGACTTTTGTTTCCTTCCCAGCTGTGTCCCCTAGAAAAGCTGTGGCACAACTTTCCAAGGAATGGCTAAAGCCTGCAGAAGCTTTCTCCAGCTGAGCCCCCACATGAGGGCTGAGCAGGGCAGAGGGTGGGAGAGAGGGGCTCACCTCCACGTTCCAGACGTAGGAGCTGTGGAAGAGCTCCGACCACAGCTTGCCTACTTTGTTCATGTCTTTGACATCCCAGACGTAGATGCTGTGGTCCTTATACACGCAGGACAGCCACTGGTGGACGGGGTCGAAAGTCAGTGCCACTGTATCTGGGTAGACTGCTTCTGCCTTCCTGCAGAAGAGGAAGCTAACAGGGCCACACGGGTCAACGATCACCATCAGTGTCACCCTGAGAGTGACAGCAGTCTCTGGGGACACACGAGCTGCCTCCTGCCTGGCAATGGCATGGCGGCCCATCTCTCCCACACCAACTCCTTTTCTCCCTCCTCGCTATTCCTCAGATTTGCTTCTAATAGCCACAGCTCAGCCCTTCCACCCACTTAAGGTGGCAGCCAGCGGGCTCTACTCAAAACCTGGTCAGGTAACTCCAATGCCCGAAACGCCCTGTGACTGCCCACTGGTTCAAGGGGTAGAATTCTCGCCTCCCAGATTGCTTCTGCTACCTCTGTCAAGCTCAGACTTGTCTGCTACCATGCTGCCCCCAAACACTGGCTCTGGCCTTGCAGCTCCTTGCAGCTACACAGGCCAGGGCAATGTGTTGTCCCCGTGAGGCCTTTACACTTGTTGCCGGACCCAGCTGTCCACACTGCAGGCTCCTTCTCCCCAGAGAGGCTTCCCCTGGCCACCCAGTCAACATGGCCTGCCCATGTCCTCTTCTCCACGAGTCCCTGCTTTATTTCACACAAGCATCTATGACCATTTGCAGTGTTCTTGCTTGGGTGCTTGTTTATCCTCAGGCTCCCACTACACAGCAGGCTTCAAGGTGGCAGAGATCTTGCTGCCTCCTTGGAGCTGTCTCCTGCGTCCGGCCAGGAAGCACAGATGGATGTCGGCAGACAGATGCTCCTTTCCCCACCAGACAGTACCTGGGATCCAGGCCCTGGGCCACATCCACCCCAAGGTAGTGAGGCTTGGGCAGGTTGGCGAGGTAGTGCAGGTTGTGGGCCTGGAAGATGCGGACTATCCCATCTGTGCAGCCGCAGAAGATGAGCTCCTGGCTGACACAGAGGCAGGAAGCCATGGAGACCTGTGGGGGCAGAGAGGACCCAAGTGGGTTTAGTGTTTTGTGTGGCCTGGTTCAGGGACATGGGGACAGACAGAACAGCCTCCAGAGAAGTCTTCTAGTTCCTTGGGTCTAAGGAGCCCATTTTAGCCAATTTAAGATTTTTGAAATCAGAACACAGCGCAGTAGGTGGTAAGGCGACATGGTAGCAGGCGGGAGAGGCATGACGGGACAGGGCTGTCACTGCTCGACAATAAACTCAGCTGTGTGTGGAAAATGCAGACTCTGGAAAATTCAGGTAGGTCCCTTGCAGTGAAAGGGATGAATTTTAGGCTTAATTTTTTTCCCCAATTGCTTAAAAACAGCTTTGTAAAGATTATACTTCAAAGCCTCATAGAAAGTTACTAAAGGGCCTCCCTGGAGGCACAGCACGTTGAGTGAAGTGCTGTGAAGCTGTCCACAGCCTCTGCAGCGCGGGTTCGATCCTGGCCCGCCAGGGAGATCCCCACATGGTGCGTCAGACCTCTACTGTCTCGCCCGCTGCTCCCCTCAGCAGTGTCTTTGGTTCATCTGCCTGTTCTGCTCCCCACTCTGTCTCTGGTGAATTCTCTCACCCTCCCACACCTCTGGCCTGTACTCCCATGCTTGTATAAAAAAATAAATCTTTAAAAAAAAAGAAAAAAGAAAAAGCTACTAAATACACAAGGGGCTCTAGTCTGCCAGGACAGGCAGCAGAGGGGCAGGAGTGCCAGGCCTCTGGGCACAGGTTAGAGGAGTTTTTATAGACCTGGAGGGACTTAATTTATCAGTCACTTAAGGCAACTCCTCAGGGAATGAACAGCTACCTGGAGAAAGCTTCTGACTTGCTTCTAAGTTGCGTGAATTCTAGCAGGAGGATTCAAGTGAGAAAAACAACACTGCAACACTGGTATTTAAACAGCTGGGGAAGAGGTAGAACTTGGAATTCTTTTTTTTTTTAATTAAGATTTATTTATTTATACAAGAATGGGGTACAGGCCAGTTGTGTAGGAGGGTGAGAGGATTCACAGAGACAGAGCAGGAAACAGAACAGGCAGACTGACTGGAAAACACTGCTGAGGGGAGCAGCGGGCAAGACAGGAGAGGCCCCCTGTGCCATGTGGTTTGCTCCGTGGCTGGTGGGGATGGAACTGGCACTGCAGAGGCTGCGGACAGCTTCACAGTGCCGCGCTCAACCGCCTGCACCACCAGGGAGGCCCCAGAACTTGTAATTCTTCCACACACCTGACAGCATGCTATTTACCCTGACGCCCATCCTGGGGCTCCTGAGCTAAATGCCTTCCAAAGGTTATCATGACCCCTATCAACTCTGAGGCAGGCAGCACTAGTTCCATTTCATAGATGAGGCAACTGAGGCCCAGAGAGGGAAAGTCACCCACCCACAGTGACACAAGGGAAGTGAAACCTAGACCTTGTACCATCAACGACCAGGCAGGGACACTGCTGCGTGTCTGAAAACATGCATCCAGGGAACAGTGTTTCCCCTATGGCGGAGAGGCAGGTGGGGTACCTTTAGGTTGATCCACTTCTCCAGCACCCTCTTCTCATTGAACTGGCACAGGAGGCCCGAGTAGGACACGCAGAAGGTATTGCCAGCCATCTGGCCCCGTCCACAGGCCACACCACAGAAGATGTTGTTGTGCAGCTCACCCAGGATGCCCGAGCGACCCACAAGGGGCACCGTGCCCGTCACCTGGAGGCAAAGCGGGGCATAGTGAGGCACTGTGCACATGGCCTAGACCCCAACCAGGTCACGATGAGCCTTCAGAGACTAGAAGATGTGACATAGAGAAACAGGAGACACAACTTCCAGGCAGAACAGGTGGAAGGCACTAGTTCCACAGCCGTCCAGGAAGCAGAACAGGCCCCAGCCAGGTGAAGAGGCTTCCCAGCAGGGGGAGCAAGTTAGCACCTGGAGAGCAGGCCTTGAAGCAGAAGCCAGACCCTGAGAGGTGACGGAGGCTGAGACCACTGCCCCCAAAACTCAGGCAGAGACAGGAGTCTACACTGGTTCTCATGGGTACCCCCCGGGCCTGCTAGAGGTGGCGGGGCTGGAAACTCACCTTAGCTTCCGTGGAGACTTCCAAGAACCAGAACCTCACATGCCGGTTCCCAACAGTGACAAAATAGCTGCTGTCTTCTGAGAAGGAGAGGGCGATGACCCTGCATGACACCTTGTTGGAGGCCACCACAATGTCCCTCTAGAAGAATCAGTGCAGAAAGGGTCAAGCTGGCACCCACCCCACTGGACTCTTAGTGCCTCTGCTCAGCCTGTGCGGCCCTGTTCCAGCTCGGTCTCCCTTGGGCCCTCCTGTGAGCTACATGACGGAGAGCCTATGTGGGGTCCTGCCATTCCCAGTACAGAGGAGCCTGAGGCTCAGAAAGGGTCCCAAGTGAAGGTGCATTCCAGAGCTGTCCCATGAGTCCGAGCTCTGCAGTTGTGTTGGGGACAGGCGCAGCTGGGAGATGGGGGTAACGCAACCCCCAGGCCTTGCTCCAGGCCCCTCTGAGGGTTTCACAGGAAAACTCACAGAATCCTCTATTAATTCTATTAGGGAGGCGCTTCTCCTCCCACTCTGTGAGGCTTGTGCGGGGAGGCACATGTTCAAGGTCACACAGAGCCAGGACTCGGAAACTACTTCTGCCAACTCCAAATCCTCCCCCAGCTGTTCCAAAGTCCAGTCTTTCAGTGCTTATCAACTCAGTGAATTCGCACGACTTGGAGATACTATTTATATCCATTTTCTACATGAGGAAACAGACTCACAGGATCACAAGTGGTCAGCTGAAAAATTATTATATAATTCCAGCTGCCAGCTTGTCAGTGCCCTGTGACAAGCGCCCAGAGCCAGGACCCACATGGGGCAGGTGCTCAGTAAATGTCTGCTGGGTGAAGGAGCCTGCTACCAAATCATCTCCCTTAGGACTCCCCCTGAAACTCGGGGTGCTCTCCCACCCCCAGTAGTCTCACCTTCCAGTCCCAGACGTTGAGCACCATGTCATGCTGGTAGCCCATGGACACGATGTGCTTCATGTTGGGGGAGAAGGCCACGCAGGCCACACCATACTTGTGGCCCAGCATCTCTGCCACCTGACTCTTCTCATCCACGTCCCAGATGCGCACAGCGGGCCTGTGTCCGTTCTGGGGAAGATGGGGCCGTCAGTGCCCCTCGGTTCTGCACTATGCAGGGCTAGAGGGGCTGTCAGGCTGAAGTTGGCACTGCCGCAGGGTGGGCCTGAAAGCTACCTTTCCCATGCACCACAGAGTTTTGTGTTTTTTTTTTTTAAAGATCTATTTATTTATACATACAAGAACTGGGGTACAGGCCAGAGGTACGGGAGACAGAGTGGGGAGCATAACAGGCAGACTGACTGAAATGCACTACTAAGGGGAGCAGCAGGCAAGACAGAAGAGGTCTGCTGTGCCATGTAGGTAGCTCCCTGGCTAGGGATTGAACTTGTGCTGCAGTGGCTGCAGACAGCTTCATAGTGCTGCAACTTAACCCTTGCACCACCAGGGAGGCCCCCACCATGGAATTTTGCAGGCTTAGGAAGGTGTAATTCCAGGGAGTCCCCAGACCTGCTAGGGGCAGAAGGCATGGCCCCAAGACCCCTCCTCACCCACTCAATGGTGATCACCACTCACCTCACCCGTCACGATGTACTTGCCATCAGGGGAGAAGGCCAGAGCACTCAGAGATTTCCTAAGGCAAGAAAAGGGGTTGACCACTGGTTCCACTATGTGTGACAGCCAGTCCTCACCCGTGTGCCAGTGCAGCACGTTCCCTGCATTTCCTGCTGCTGGGGGAAGGGTGGCAGTGACACAGGGAAATGGGGGGAAGAAGCAAAGACCCCTTCTTCCCTAAAACCCACCACCCAAAGGGGTGGACACTGCATGGGGACCTTCCTTTCCTCTCCCTTTGCAGGTGTCCAAGACCCCATCTACTCTGTGACCCTGAGCAGCTCCTTCCAAGATGAAAGCTGTATCTGCCATCCCATAGGACCTGCCACATCTTAGGGACCCTTCTTAGGGACGATAAGGGAAGAAGATCTCATTCCTCCAGCTGGAGAAACAGGTCAAAGAACATTGAGCTAAGCATAGGGGTGACAGCGGTGTCTCCCCAAGGTCATGATCCAATGGGGACCAAAGCCCCAGGATGACACAGTGAGCAAGTACCTCCAAGGCAGTCCCTTGGGCATGGACTTGGGCCTGCTCAGGGTTGAAGACCTTCCCCCTAACTGGATGGATCTTTCTAAAACCCAAATCTCATTCATTCACAAAATAACAAGTGCCATCAAGTACTAGACATCTCTCTATATGAAAGAGACACAAAGTTAAAAGTTTCTGCCTTCAGAGACCTCACAGTGTGGAAGAGAATGAGTACCATCCATGAAGAAAGGAGCCCCTAAGAGGTATATTTTGTAGAGACGAAAACAAGGAAGGGAGAGAAACAAATCTCCACTCTATAAAAGCATGACAGCTGCTTCCACTCACCCAGCCTGATATCCAAGCCCCTCCCCAAAGGCCCAAGTGACAGGGCCTGTTCCAGTCGTACCCTCCCTCACCCACACCCCCACTCTGGGTATGCAGACCCCTGACTGGTCTCTCTGCTCGGAATGCTTCCCTCATCGTCCCTGGTCACGAGCTCAATTCTTTCAGGCCTCCAGGCGGCCTGCCAAAGCCCTGATTGGGCTTTCTCCCCACTCTGCCACAGACCTGCCCCACCACCCCACCATTTCCCCATGGGAAGGTCACAGTCAGCTGGCGATCTGTTGACCTATCTAGTCAGTTTCCCTTACTGAGCTGTAGGCTCAAGAGAACAGAGATCCTTGTCCCTCTGCTCACTGCTGTGTCCCCAGCACCTGGCACAGGGCAGGCATTGGGGATGTCACTGAAGCAATGGGCGAGAAAATGGGTGAGTCACCCTCCCACGAGCACTTCCAGGTAATGTGGGGGAGATGTGCCAGCCCGGGTGCCCGGGCCCCATGCCCAGACCTCACCTACCTGGCAGTATTTAAAATGTGTTGCTGCTTGTTCTCCTTAGGGTTCAAAATCACCACCACGCAGCTGGAGAGAAAGAGGAAAATGTGCCCAAAGGGAGTTTTAGACAATTCCATTTCAAAAGTAGAGCCCCCACGTAAACAGAAGATTCCTTCTGTGGTTCCCTCTGCCTCTATCTGCGTGTCTGCATTGAGAATTGCCGTGTACTTAGCATTATTATCATGATTGTTATTAATATACCCTGAAGTAGAAACCAATACGTCCACATCCTCACAACTAACAGCTGAGGTCAGGAATCCTAGTCCCCTTTCATAGATGAGGACACTGAAGCCAGAGAGGGAAAGTCCTCTGCTTGGGGCCACCCAGCAGGTCAGGGATAGAGTGGGGGGTGTGAATCATACCTGTCAGAATCAAAGGCCCACCCTTGTCCTCTAACCTGGACGGTTGCCCAAACACTAAATAACAGCGAGTGTTCATCAGGAATGAACAGGAGTCTGCTCTGCCCTGCCCTTCAAAGGCAGGGGGTTCCTCCTGTGCTAGAACAGTGCCAGGCCAGCTCAGTGTCCTTCAGTCCCCATGATGACACAAGAGGACGGTGTCACAAGTTCTGCTCCGTACACATCAAGTAGAGGCTTGGCTCTGGGGCACAAATCCAGGCTTCCCAACACCACGGCCTGGCTGCCAACTACCAGACCGTCTCAGAATTGCTGCCGCCCCCACGTGTGGTCACCATGAGGCTGGCATAGTGTTCATGACAGCCTGGTTACTGTTCTGGACACATGTGGGCCCATGCAGCCCTCAGAGGTCGGCATTCTCTATATGCTCCAGATGGAGAAGCTGAGGCCCGAAATTCACAGTGAGCAGAGGCCTGCCCTCCAGAGCAGTGACTGGAGCTGGAGGCCCCCGCCCTCACTCACCCTGCCAGGTAGGCCACATAGCCCGTGCTGGGGTCACAGGTTAGGCCACTGCTGTTCTGGGCGGTGATGCCGAGCACCTTCTCGAGTGACACCTGCGGGGTGAGGGGGGATGGATGGAAAGGCCCAGTCAGAAGCACCTGCCCAGCAGGCCTTAAGGGGCACAGCTGCCTCAGCTAGTTCTTCAGTCCCTATGATATCCAACACACCCGCTGAGCGTCTACAGTCACGCTGCCAACAGCTAGTACTCCGACGAATACACAGTGCGAGGCGGTGGGCACAGAAAGGTAGGGAAGATAAACAAAATCCCTGCCCTCTTGAAGCTGACACATTCTGGTGGTGATGGGATGGAGGACACAGAAAATAAGCAGGAAAATAGATATCAGGTGATGATAGAACAGGAAAAAATAAAGCAGGGAAGGAGACTGGGAGGTGAAATGGTGCAAAATTTGGAGGATGCTCGCGGCTTATGGGTTCTCACTGTGTGCTGACAATTGCAAGACACAGCTCCACTTTGGGGGTAACAGCAACAGGATTTACTGACAAAGGGGTGACTGAGATAAGGAAAGCATTTCTAAGGCTACCAATGGCCGGCTGTTCTACATCAGATAGTGTCCACAGTGTCTAGTTGTCCTAACCAAAAGGTGCTGGTGCAAGGTGGCACTGTCCCTCCCCTGAGAGCCTGGATCTGGTGGCAGCAATGAGTAGAAGAGGACCACTAATTTGTGGCAGCTGGGGCCATCATGGGTGACGCTGCTGAAGCCATGCAAAGCTGGGCTGGGCAATAATCAGAGGAGGTGCCAGCAGACCACACACCAGCAGTACAGCTCCTTAGAAATGCCGGCCAGCGGCCAGTGGTAATCCCAATGAATGCAGCTGAAGCAAAGGTCTCTGTGAAGGTCTTCGCAGTAGAGTCCAGAGGAGTCCCCTGAAGCTGAGTATCTCTGGATGAGCCTCTGTAGCCTCTCCCAAGCCTCTGCTTATATCTCCCTGCAGGGTACCTGCCTTTCAAACCTGTTTGGTTCATTTTCCAAACCAGCTGTCTCTAAGACTTGGTGCCGGTGCAATCTTGAACCTAATTGGTGCCAGTGGAAGCTCAGACTTGGTCCATTTTCAAAACCTGCTCAGGTTTCAAAACCAAAAGTGTGTCCCATCTGCTCTGCACTGTCTCGTGCCAGGCGAGCAGTGCAGGGGCTCAGTGGAGCCAGCCAGGTTTAAACCTCTCTTGCACTTCTTCAATATTGTCATTTTTTTTTTTTTCTAAAACCCAAACCCGGGTGCTCCAGCATCGGCCAGCAGACTTGGCAGCTTTGGTGAAGTCCAGGCTGATGCTGCTCAGCTGGGGGCCCCAGCACCTTCAGAGAAGAGCTGCAATGGCTACTCTCACAGAAACACAGGGGGAGGGGAGGTCTCATTGGGAAGGTGACCTTTGAGCAAGTTTCTAAGTAATTTCATATGGATGAGAGCCTCGAAGGCCAACAACCACTCAAGGAACCATGCACTATAATCGCCCTTCTCTTACCCAGGAAGACACTAAGGCCCAAGACCCCACAACTAGGGGTGGCAAAGCTAGGACACAGACTCAGGTAGTGTGACCCTGAAGCCAGCACCCTGGGCCCTGCCAGGAAGACACAGCAGGGAGCAAAAGTGGACACTCACCGTCCCTTCCCTCATCAAGTCATTCTAGACGTTCAACAAGTAAAGAAACAAGTGAACAAGCACATTCAATATTTAAAAACTCTTTAAGCAAACTAATAAATGGACTAGTCCCCATGGTGATTGAGTAAACAATTTAGAATTCAAACTAACAGATTCATGGTGTTTTCACATTTTGAATAGACTAGTAACTAATTATTATAATTATTCTTAAGCATGTCTTTGGACTTAGAAAGGACAGACAAACAGGATAATAACAGTCAATGTTTACTGGCACTTGCCAGGAGGCAGGCACTGTTCAGGTACCTAGAACTGCTAACTTTTTGAGTGTCCCCAAGAACCCTGTGATGGGCTCCCTATCACTACTCCATCTTACAGAGAAGGAAAAGGAAGCCCAGAGGTGTTACCCATCCAGGAAGGAACTGTGCCCAACTCTAACCTGGGCAACCAGGCAATGACAGGGCATTTTATCTGTCAATCAGCATTACTGGGCAGTAGTATAACCGGTCATTTTTAGACTGTGGTTTTTTTTTTTTTTTGCAAGCCAGATGCAGTCTGTGTGACCAAACGAGAAGGATAAATGACATCAATTATCCAAACAGAACAATAATAACTATAGCATTTCCACTAATAGAGCACTCAAAATGTGCCAAGTGTTGTTCTAAGTACTTAAGATATGTGAACTCAATCCTCACAAATACCCTATGAGGGAGCATTTATACTTTTATCTTCATTTACAGATGAGAAACTGTGGCACAGAAAAATGCACAACAGGAAAAACAGAATTAAGGTGATATGCAGGCAGTCTGGGTAGAGGCTGTACATTTAACCACCTGGCTGTATCACCTCTCTGAAATGGCTATCACTATTCCTCTCATTTCTACACAGTTTGAAGTTCGTAACTTTCAGGAACATATAGGATAAGGGTTATGAAGTATGAGATATTGGTGAGAGATTAAGGTGGGTGTCCACCTTAAGCTGAGTACAAGAAGGCCTCTCAGAGTAGGGATATGCAGGCTGAGGTCTGAGGGATGAGAAGGCAGCCAGGCAGACTGAATGCAGGAAAAACTCAGGCAGAGGACTCACCAAACACAAGCGCTAGGAGGCAGGAAAGAGCTTGGAGCCTCAGGAAGATAGAACCTTGGTTAGAGGGAGAACAGGGTGGTACTGCCAGAGAGATGGGCAGGGGTCTTGCAGCCAGGAGTGGATGACATCGTCAGAGTGGAGCAGGAAGATCCACCAGCAGCCACCATGTAACCACTCATTCATGCAAATCATTCACGATTTCATTTCAGCTCCCTGCAGCAACATGGCATGGTTATTGTTGTAAGAATAGACTGCGTGGCTCAGAGAGTAGTTTTTCACTTGCTGCAGTACTAATGGAATTCCTTCTATCTACTCTAAACTCCCCTGTGTTTTCTGTCTCTCACGATTTAGGGAACTGTTTGATACTTTCTCCTCCCCCAGCCCTCAAGAAGAGCTACTGAGATTTTACAAATATTACTCACATCCTCTCCATAATTTTGAATGACAGTAAGGAGTAAGAGTCCCACCTTAGTAAGGGAGAAGGAAAGAGAAGGCAGAGAGGTGGGAGAAGGCGGCGTAGAGCTGAGGGTGAGGTGGGACAAGTAGGACTGGAGAGAGACTGATCCTGGGACCCACCAAAGACCCAGCCGGAGGCGAGGTCAACAAAAGTGGAAGGGCCTAGAGACTCTCAAGGTACAGGAGGGATCGCTAGAAGGTGGCACTGGGAGGGGATTGGAATTAAAATGCACTGGAGGGGCCAGGGCCAGGGAGGACCCCTGGAACACCCCAAAGGCTCAGGGGTTAGAGGTGGGGCTAGGAACCCGGCGCAGTATAGACCGAGAAGGGGAAGTGGGAGGAGCCCAGGGAGGGGCGGGGCTTAGCGGTGGAGGCGGGGCCAGGGAGCCGCCTGCAGGGGCCAGCCCAGGCCGGTAGGCGGGGCCAAAGGCCTAGGGCGGGCCCGCGGAGCCTCGGTACCCGGGAAGCTGGGATGGGCAGGGCAGGCAGCTCCTCACCCGGTTCTGCACCGAGTCCTCAGGCGCCGCTGAGGGTCGCGTCCGCCGCCGGAGGCAGGGCGGTGGAGCGGGGGGCGGAGAGGACTGTGTCCTCCGCCCCGGAACTCCCGCCATGACAGTTGGCAGCTTCTCGACTGCATCGTTCCGCGCGTAACCTCCAGGCCCTAAGGCCGCCATCGTCGCTCCGGCGCAGGGCGACCGTTACACTCCACAACCGCCGCCGCCGCCACGACCCATTCGAACAGCGAACAGCCGCGGGAAAGCCGGCGCCGCCGCCCATTGGACGCGGCCGTCTTCCGCTCTGGCCAATCGCAGGGCTGCCGAGCCGTGGCTTTGACCAATGAGAGCAATGGGGCGGGGCGCCCGGCAGGGTGGCGCTCCGGGGAGCCTACCCGCTGCTCGCTCGGGCTTCGTGGCTTTACAGGACAACCTGCGTGTTCATCATTGACTGAAATGTAGATTGTCACTTTGGCAAGGCAAAGGCCTTTTGTCACTTGCGCCTATCCGCTCAGTGCCAGTCGCCCCGATGGAAGCGTAGGGTGGAGCCCAAAGTGACTGAGGAACTGGCGCAGGCTCAGATCCGCCGTCTCGGAGCCTTCCAACTCACGTGACTACGTGTGCTGTGCGCCGGCGTACTGGTGTGTCCCGTTCATCACGTGACGAAGACGCGCCGTGGTGACGTTGCAGGGTTGGTAACGCGTCCCTCCCCCGGCACGTGATCAGGCACCAAAGGCAGTCACGTGAACAGACACCACGGGCGGGGCGGGACGGGACGGGGCTCGGCTGCGCTCCGCGAGGGCCAAAGTGCGACTGCAAACCCGGCAGAACTCAACGGGGCTGGACGGCCATGCCCAAGTACTGCCGGGCGCCGAACTGCTCCAACACAGCGGGCCGACTGGGCGCGGACAACCGCCCCGTGAGCTTCTACAAGTGAGCACGGCGCGGGGCGGGGCTTACCGGGGGCGGGGCTTACCGGGGGCGGGGCCTGGTGGAGGCGGGGCCCTGGCGCAACCTGCAGGTGTCTGGAAACATAGCGAGGTGCAGAGACGGTCATCCCAGCATTTTGCCAGGAGCACAAATTCCCGGGTGTACAAAGGTGCAGATGTGCGAAATAGGGGTAAACGATTAACTCCAGGTAGTGAGCGGGGCGAATGGAAGAAAGGGCGGGCAGTGCAGGGAGAAGAGGTTGTCCGGGCGCGGTAAGGTTGCCCACTCATCATCATCGCGAATTTGAAATTTCTCCAACTCAAAACATCTGAATGGAGCTCCTGATCGTTTCTTTCCCAAAACCTTTAATAACTTTTCCTATTTTACTTAATAGCTTACACTGTCTTTTGTAGATTACAAACCTTAAAGTCCTCCTTACCTCCTGAGAAAGTAAAAATTGGCTTAAGCTGTAAAAAACAAACAAGAACCCTCCAAATTTATTCCCATTTATCTGGCTGGAATAGCAGACTCGGAAAACATCAGCTGAAGAGTTAGTAGGGGAGGCAAAATTCTGTATTTTTCTAGTGGACATGTTGCAGATTGAAAGGTTCGGCGCGGTAAAGAAAAGGAGAGCCAGGATACATTTCTCAAAGGGAGGGAAAGTTTACTGCGCCCCTGGCGGACCTCACAGACCCAAGGCGGGGGTCAGTGGAGTCGCGCACGTTGTTAGGGGGAAGCAGGGTTTTATAGGGTGAGGAGAGGTCAGGTGGGTAGTTGGGCTCGTACGGCGGGAAAAGTTTGTAGGGCAGGTAGAGGTTCTTTGTTTGAGAAGAGACTCGTGGGGGGAGGGGGGAGGCTCATTGTCTGAGTCCTCCAGGCAGGTATCAGCATTCCTGCCCCCCAGGTGGGCTTCCTGGTTGGCTCCTGCATTCCGGCCCCCTGCATGGACCTTTCAGGTGACACATTCCCTTTCTAATGTCTACAAAGGAAACTCTGTTCTCTAAAATCAGACCGTCACAAACTTTGCTGTTTGAAATAATAATAATTGAATTATTATTAATAATAATTTATTAAATAAATAATATAATAAATCATTTTTGAAAGAATGAAAAATCTCACTTACTGTCTGGAAGAGTTAAGTAACTTTCACATGGAGAATCAGCCTTGGTTTACAAACCAGCTGCAGAGCTTCAGGTACAGACTTTCTGGATGCAGTATTCCACATCTGTCTGACCTTTATTGCTTCCAAATGAGGAACCTGCACCCACTTTGCCATGTAGACCTGCTGTTGATCTCTTTATACACAGTTCTGCTTTACTTTGAGCCTGTGCAAACACTGTTTCATGTACTTTCCACTTAAACTTCACCTTCCCCCCTAAAACCAAATAATAAACTCTTACCTATTCCTTTGGCAAGACTCCCCAAGTCTGGTGTGCAGTCTCCCTCGTGGCCATGATACATAAGGATGTCTTTGTTGTACTTAGGATTTGTCCCTGATGGCCTTAGTCTAAGTGGGCCAGGACATATTCCTCATCCAGTCCATCAGCAAATCCTGTTGGCTTTCCCATTAAAAACTAACGAGTTGAGGGGCCTCCCCGGTGGCGCAGCGGTTGAGCACTGGGTTGCGAAGCTGCCCGCGGCCTCTGCGGCACCGGTTCCATCCCCGTCTGCTCCCCGGCCACTGGAGGAGGGTCCCACATGGCGCGCAGACCCCTCCTGCTGCCTGCTGCTCCCCTCAGCAGTGTACTTCGGTCCTTCTCCCTGCTCTGCTCCCCGCTCTGGCTCTGGTGAGAGAAGCTTCTGACTGTACCCAGTGCATGTATAAACAAAACAAAACGAACAAATAAATAAATAAATAAATAACATGCCTCTATATAAAAAAAAAAAAAAAAAAAAAATTAAAAAAAAAAAAAAAACTAATGAGTTGATCCCCTGCTCTGCTGTCTCTCCAGTCCTAGCCACTATCACCTCCCAACTGCACTGGTTTACTAGCCTCTTCCTTGGTCAACCTCCTCTCACAGAGAAACTGTGACTATTTGAGTCAGATCAGGATTCTCCCACTCTATAAAAAACAAAGTGAGAGGCCTCCCTGGTGGCACAGGGGTTAAAGACAGCACTATCAAGTGGTCGCCAGCCACTGCGGCATGAGTTCGATTCCCCAGCAGGGAGCTGACCCACATGGCGCAGCAGACCTCAACTGTCTTGCCCGCTGCTCCCCTCAGAAGTGTATTTCAGTAGATCCACCTGTTCTGCTCCCCACTCTGTCTCTGGTGAATCCTTTGCCCCACATACTTCTGACCTACACCCCAGTTCTTGTATGCATAAACAAAATGAGACTAGAGCAGGCAGAAAGCAGGCCCACAAAGCCCTGCAGGAAGTGGGTCTCCAATATCTGTGTGACCTCATCTCTACCCCTTGCTCTGCTCCGTGATGCTGGCCTATTCCATGTTCCTTTAGTACAGCAGGCACGCTCTTGCCCAAGTGTTTGTGAGGTGGCATCTTGTGCTTTTGATTTGCATTTTCCTAATGATTTGTGATGTTGAGCACCTTTTCAATAGCTGGTTGACCATTTGTATATCTTTGGAAAACTGCTTATTCAAATCCTTTGCCCATTTTTTCAATTGGGTTATTTGTTTAAAAAAATTTTAACAGGTGTCTTTAAACACACACACACATACACACACACACAGTGACTCCTCATGTATCCATTACTCAGTTTTAGCAGTTTAACATTTGCCAAACTTTTTCATCCCTCCTCACACCTTTAGTGCAGTATTTTTTTTATGGTTTTAAAGATTTTTTTTTGGTTTATTTTAATACAGTGTTTTAATGTAAATTCCAGACATTGGGTCTTTTACCCATAAGTATTGGGTCTTTTACCCATAAGTCTTTCCAATAGATGCCTATTTATAAATATTTAGAAATAAATAGAATTATCACATCTAGCAAAATTAATTTCTTACAATTACCTAATACTCACTTTTTCCCCATTGTGTTAAAAGGAAGCGCAGTTTCTTTTTAATTCCCTTTCTTTTCAGGGAAAGGTTTGTTGCTGACAAGGCTTATATCCTGCATTTCAGCTGATGTTTCTTAAATTTCTTTTAATCTCTCCCACCACCCAGCTCACATGAAAGTAGGATCTCCCTCATTCCAGATTTGTCTGACTTTGTAAACTACTTTCTGAGGTTCTTGTAGAGGAACAGATTGGGGGTGGCTTGGAGAGTGAGCTGGTTAGGGAGACCAGAAACGGGGCTGCTTACTGCAAGAATCCAGGCCAGAGAGAATGGAGCGTGGACTGTAGGGGCAGTGGAGGTGGGAGAAGTGGGAGGATGCTGGTTGTTAAAAAGGGGTCACTAAAGAACCCAGCATGGACCTGGTTCAAGTATCCTGGTGGGAGGCAGGGCCAGTTTCTGACTGAGATGAGGCAGAGGCTGCAGTCCAAGGAGCCCAGGGTGTGTGTCCTCCTCAGAGGGGTGGGGTTGGACCTAACATCACTGACTCACCTCTGGCAGGTTCCCTCTGAAGGATGGCCCCCGGCTGCAGGCATGGCTGCGGCACATGGGCCAAGAGCACTGGGTGCCCAGCTGCCACCAGCATCTGTGCAGCGAGCACTTCACGCCCTCCTGCTTCCAGTGGCGCTGGGGGGTGCGCTACCTGCGCCCAGATGCAGTTCCCTCCATCTTTTCCCCAGGGCCCACCAAGGTGAGCATCTGATCACCAGCCTTTTCCACCTGGAAATAGTCTATGGAGTCTGATCCCCAGCCCTCCTTTCCCGAGGGAAATCCCCCAGGAGAGTAACCCCTTCACCTTCTCAGAGTCCCGCCCTGATGCCCACTCCCCCATCCCATACCCTGTCTTCCAGAGGGAGCGGAGTAGCGGAAGCGAGGAGAAACCTCTAGTGCCTGCGCCTGCACAGGAAGCTACGCCCCTGCCCCCAGGCTCAGCCAACCCCCATCAGGGCCCTGTACACCTGGTGGTGCTGGGGACAGCATCTGGAGGCCCCGAGGCCAAGGCCACTGTCTTCCTGACCCCTGTGCCCCTCCCACCGGCACCCCCAGGGCCACAACATGGTGTCCCTTCCCAGCACCCCAGGGCCAGGCTGGGTGCAGTGCTGGGAGCCCTCCAGCGCAGGGTGCGGAGGCTTCAGCGGCGCCAGGAACAGCACCAGGCACAGCTGCGGGCTCTGGAACAGCTGGCACAGCAGCTGCGCTGGGAGAGCCTGCTGGCACGGGCACGCCGGGGCCAGCTGCGTGGGGTGAGTGTGGAGGGGGGACCCTGACTGGCAGCTCCAGGGGCAGATAGCCCCATCCTTGCCTGGCCCACACAGTGTGCATGTTTTCATATAAACCAGAGTCCACTATTTTATTTTATTACTCTTTTAAGATTTATTTAGGGTCTCCCTGGTGGTGCAGCGGGTTGAGCACCGCGCTGTGAAGCTGTCTGCAGCCTCTGCAGTGTGGGTTCGATTCCCGGCTGGCCAGGGAGAAACCCACATGGCACAGCAGACCTCTTCTGTCTCGCCCGCTGCTCCCCTCAGCAATGTCCTCCATCTGTCTGCCTGTTCTGCTCCCTGCTTTGTCTCTGGTGAATGCTCTCGCCCTCCTGCACCTCTGACTATACCACAGTTCTTGTATAAATAAATAAATTTAAAAAAAAGATTTCTTTATTATTTATGCATACAAGAGTTGGGGTACAGGCCAGAGATGCAGGGGGTGAGAGGATTCACCAGAGACAGAGTGGGGAACAGAACAGGCAGACTGACTGAAATACACTGCTGAGGGGAGCAGAGGTGAGACAGGAGAGGTCTGCTGCGCCATGTGGGTTTCTCTCTGGTTGGCCGGGGATCGAACTTGTGCTGCAGAGGCTGTGGATTGCTTCATGGTGCGGTGCTCAACCCCTTGTGCCACCAGGGAGGCCGGGAGTCCACTATTTTAAAGTCAGAATATTTCACCCACCTTCTCATATTTCTGACTTTTCTTGAAAAAAATCAATCTGGCAATGCCAGTTGGTCAGAGCAGATTACTGGCGGCTGCATTTATTAATAATCATAGTAAGGGGCCCTTATTCTGCAAGATGCAGATTTAGCAATGTAGTGAAAACTCAGAACAACTTTTACTAATGTTGTCCTCCTTTTCAGATGGAAAATTTGAGGCCCCGAGTGATAAGAGTAACTTGCCCAGAGTGGCAGCCAGTACGCTGCAGAGCCAGGATTCAGGCCCAGATGTCTGGCTCCAGGGATGCCCCCTGCCTGCCTCTGGAGAGCTTGAGATCACAACCCCTGCATGAGAGGCTCTGGGCCCTTTTGCCCCTTTATTTTACTGCTGAGTATTGGGGGTGGAGGGGCAAAGGGATCATGACTTCAAAAGTCAAAAGTTTGACCCCAGCTTAATTTTGCTTAAAATCCCCCCCACTTCCCCACATTCATCTTTGTCTTCTGCGCCCCCATCTCTCTGTCCCCCCCCGTTTCCCCACTTTCACGACTCTTTATTTTCATTTTTCGCTGTCCCCCTGTATTTATGTCCCGGTTTATCACTACATTTCTCCTATCTCCCGTTTGTATCTCTGCCCCCTCTTCCCACCACGAGTGCGCATGCGTGCACACGTTTCTTTCTTTCCTCATTCCCCTTTATTCCACCATAAACGTCTCTGGTGCTCAAGTCTGCTTCCTTGTCTTGCCATATATCTCTCTGTTTCCTGACCCCCCCCACACTTCTCAACTTGACCTTCCTTTTCCTCCTCCATCCCCAACCCTTTCCTCCCCTCACTGCCCTGTGATCTCCCATCTCTACCACAGCTTCCTGGACCAGAGGAATCCAGAACCTTCACCATCATCTGCGGAGGGCCTGACATAGCCGTGGTCCTCGCCCAGGGTCCTACAGCTCCCACACTGGATGCCAAGCCTGACCTCCTGGACACTCAGACCCTCACTGCATAAGGACCATGACCTATACTGTCAGGGGACAGATGGCGGAAGACAAAGGAAGAGAGACTCACTAGGCATGCGCTTGCCCAGCCCCACCACCCATGCCTGTGGCAGAGGAGTGCCTTCCTCAAAGGCCTGGCTCCCACCACCCCTTCTGGGGACCCCCTCAACCTAGGGCCAACCTGAGCCCAGACACCCAGCAGTCCCTACGTCCCTGGGTAACTGCTCCTCGCCACCCCAACTTGAATATGTAGTCTGTAAAACAGTCAAACAAGGGTTGTTCATGGGGGAAGTTATATCTGGTTCTAAAGAGCCTCATACCCTTTACCAAGCCTGGTGCCAAGCTGGGGATACAGCAGTGAACACAGCAGACAAAATCCTGCCCTCATGGTGCTCACATTCTGCTTGAACAGGAGCTGAACCAGTAAACTAATAAAGATAATTTGAGATTGTGATAAATGTTATAAAGATGGAATGAAAATGTAATGGAGGTAATGGGAGGAGGACTCCATGGTGCTACAATGTTTGAGCAGAGACCCGGATGATGAGGCGCTGTCCTGGAAGGCACATGGCCTGGTAAAACAGCCCCTTGCAAATGCCTCAACATCTAGGCTATTAGCTGGAGGGTGACAGTGTTGCTCTGGAAAAAAACTAAAGCAGGGAAAGACTGAGTGTGCGTGCGAGGGTGACAGAGCCGAGGCGGTCTTGCTGAAAAGGCGCCACTAAGTTAAAATCTAAAACAGGAGCGGGGGAACCAAGTATCTGGGAGAAGAACATTCAGGAGGAACAGCCAATGCAAAGGTCCTGGGGTAAGGACGAGCAAGGATGCCGATATACTTGGAGTGGAATTATTGAGAAATTGGAGAAAGTACAGGGAGAGGTTCACACAGGGTCTGTAGCTGTAGTTAAGAACACTGGCTGTTACCTGGAGTGAGGTGCAGCGAGCAGATACCCCTGAACTGGGAAAGGCCCTGATGTGATAGGTGTTGCTAGGTCCCTATGGGGGCCTCCCTGGTGGCGCAGGCGGTTGAGCGCCACACTATGAAGCTAGTCACAGCCTCTGCAGCACAGGTTCGATCCCAGGCACCGGCGAGAATCCCACATGGAGCGGCAGACCTCTCCTGTCTCGCCCGCTGCTCCCCTCAGCAGTGTATTTCAGCAGTCTGCCTGTTCTGTTCCCCACTCTGGTGAATCCTCTCACCCTCCTGCACATCTGGCCTGTACCCCTGCACTTGTATAAATAAAAAATAAATCTTAAAAAAAAAATAGGTCCCTATGGCTGCGCATTAGGGAGCAGGCAGGAGGAGTGGAGGGGGACCGGGGAGACCAGGCAAGAAGAAATGCTTTCCAGGTGGGAGAAGGTGAGGATAGACTGAGATGAAGGCATGGGGTGGGGGGGTGTGAGGGATGAGATCCTGGAGATATTTTGGAGAAGTTGCTCCTGAGCCTGCACATTAGAAGCATGAGCGTGAAAGGCACAGTCCTCAGCACTGTTCAGACAGACATGATTGTGGGCACCGTCAGCCCAGCCAAGCTGGGATGATGCAGCCAGGAAGCCCTGGACCCTGGGCTGACTCCAGGAGGTCTTCCTGGGGGAGATACAGGTTGTGAGAGCTGGTGGGGTTCCTTAGCAGATCTGTCCCCTAGACACTGCTACAGCCACAGTGATTGAAAGCTCAGACCGACAGCCATTGGCCTGGGTTCTACTTCAGCTCCATCACTTACTTGCTGTGTGTCCTCGGGCAAGTGGCTTAACCTCTCTGGACTGATAAGTGCTCTCTGAGTACTCTGTAGTGACAGTGATGGTGTCCACGAAGATGGCAGGTGCCTCTCCAGAATCATCCCTCAGAGACACCCTTCTGTACGGCAAGCCTGGGGCCTGCCGTCAGGTCTGAGGTTTCGGGGGCAGGAAAAAACACCACCACACACCTAAGCCCCTGTTCTAACCTGCCTGATTTACGGGAATGTCCTCTCACAGGGGGATGGACAAAAAGACCTCTGTCCGCTTCCCCATCCCTCTTCTTTTGTCCTGTCTCTGCTTCATCACGCTCCTTCTGACTCCGTGTCCCGCATCTTCCTCTTCGCGATCATCTCTTCCTCCTTTCTCCACCCTCCGTGGGTATCCCCTTACCGGCACGGCCTCCAGCCTTTCCATCAATGCCAGCAGCCTCCGGGTACCTCCTCCCCCGCGCCCAGTTGGGGGTAACAAGGCGCATGCGCAGTCAGCGCCCCTCCTCCATCTCCATCCCCCGTCGGCGTCTGGGCCTCGTCCCCTTCTCTGTCTCCCTCTCCTCCCCCATCACTTCCCCTGACACTGACACCCCAGTACTCCAGTCTCCCCAGTCTCAGCTTTGGTCTCCAGCTCCGTCTGCTCGAGGTAAGATGGGAAGAGGGGAGGCCCGTGGAGAAGGGGAGGGGCGAAGCATCGAAGCATCCTGCATCCCGAGATAAACAAACCCGGGGAGGGGGCGGCCTAGACGAAGGGGCCTGACGCGCGAGAAGAATGGGGGGCTGGGCTTGAGGGAAATGGTAGGCGCTGAGCCCACATACCAGGGCGCTTGAATGGGTGACGGGCGCCCCTGTGATTGCTCAAAATCCAGTGCTAGGGGCGTGGGAGCCAGCCAGAGCGCTGGGAGCGCTCAGGGGGGCTTGGATTGCGGGGACCCCTGTAGCTGACCTCTGCTTCCAGGATTTGCCTGAAGGTCGCCCCTAACTCTGCCCCCGCCCCCTGAGGGCCACCGAGGACCATGACTAAGACAGATCCTGCCCCGATGGCCCCTCCGCTCCGGGGAGAGGAGGAGGAAGAGGAGGAGGACGAACCTGCCCCCGAGGCTCCCAGCCCCACCCAGGAGCGCCGGCAGAAGCCTGTTGTGCACCCCTCCGCACCTGCCCCCCTCCCCAAAGACTACGGTAACCACCCTACCCAGCCTGGAATCTGGCCTGGAGCCCTGGGTGGCCAGGGAGGTTGGGCTGAGCTCTCAGCAGAGATGGTGGGAGGACTCTGGGGGAGTGGAAGGTGGTCCTGAGCGTCCTGGCAGAGTCTTTGGGTTCCTTCCTCCCTTCATTCATTCATTCACTCATTCACTCATTGGAGAAGGGAACTGCAATAATCCTAATCTTTGGCTCATGACACATCATCATTCAATCACTTATTCATTCTACAAACCTTTGTTGACGGTCTAGTTCTATACTAGGAGTTGGGGAACCAGCACAGAATAAGAAACATCCAGCCTTTGCCCTGAGAGAACTCACAGACCTCAATAGCAACCAAATAATAACAAGATAATGTAAATATAGAATTATAAGACTTGATGCGAACTGTGTTTGCCATGAACAGGATGCAAAAGCTTTTTTTTTTTTTTTTTTTTTTTTTTTAAATAGAGGCATGTTTTATTTATTTATTTATTTGTTTGTTTGTTTGGTTTATACATGCACTGGGTACAGTCAGAAGCGCGGGAGGGTGAGAGAATTCACCAGAGCCAGAGCGGGGAGCAGAGCAGGCAGAAGGACCGAAGTACACTGCTGAGGGGAGCAGCGGGCGGCAGGAGAGGTCTGCGCGCCATGTGGGACCCTCCTCCGATGGCCGGGGAGCAGCCGGGGATCGAACCGGCGCCGCAGAGGCCGCGGGCAGCTTCGCAACCCAGCGCTCAACCGCTGCGCCACCGGGGAGGCCCGCAAAAGCTTTTTAAGACATGGTTTTTCTGGGGAACCTTTGAGGAAGACCCAAGGATGGGTTAGGGGTTAAGCAAGGGAAGGGTCTCGGGAGACAGAGCTTCAGGCCCTGAGGTGCGAGAGTGTGGAGCTGAGAGGGTGGCCTCTTGGAGAAACTGAAAATGTCTACTCATCCACCAAGCAATGTTTATCCACTGCTACTACCTGTGACAAGCCGTGTGCTGGGTGCTAGAAATGTAATGGTGAGCTGCCCAGGCATGAGCCTTCTCTCTAGAAGGAGTGGCTAAATAAGGGACTCGATAAAGAAATCAGACACTTTCTGATAAGAGTGCTGTGAAAGGAAAAAAAATGGAGATTTAAGGGAGAATGGCTAGGGGGCAGCACCTGGAGACAAAACGGTCAGGGTGGGTAGAAATACCACCAGGGGATATTTAAGCTGAGCCCAGAGTCAGAGGAGCAGTCTGCCAGAGGTGAGCTGGAGAGTGTTCCAGGCAAGGAGCAGCAAGTGCAGAGGCCCTGAGGCAGGACTGGGCTGGGAACAGAAAGATGACGATGGAGCTGCAGTTAGGATGGGGTCATAACTGGGCGGAGAGGTTGCCAGTGGCTAGCCCTGGGGGCGTTTCAGAGGCCTCTGGATGTGTTCCAAGTGGGAGGGGGTGAGAGCTGGAGGTTGGAGGTGGGGTGATTAAAAGCAGAGGAATGGTGGTCTGATTTATATTTTTAAAAGCTCCCTCTGGCTACTGGGTAGAGAAGGTGGAGCTCAGCCAGAGTTGCATCTAAGAGGGAGCTTTTAGAAAACACTGGCAAGGAATCTCAGAAACCAGGCACCAGGTTGAGGGAGGAGGCAGAGCCAGGATAGGGAGGAGGGGTGATGGTGATGGGTCCAAGAGGCAACAACTTGACCTCCGTCTGACAGAAAAATAAGAAAGTCACCTGAGTACCTGGGGAGGGGTCCACCCTAGGAAACCAGAAAATCCTCTTTGCAGATGTTGCCTGGTGGGAATTCAGAGGATCAGGCTGGTCCCCAACACTGAGGGTATCCTGCTTGTGGAACAAGGAAGGTTTGGTGACAGAGCGAGATGGAATCTGAAGTGTTCACTAGGGAAGAGCGAGGGCTAAAGTGGACTGCAAGAGAAAATCGTGTATTTGTGTATTAAATTTGTACATGAGTTCAGTGCACGCTTTGGGGATAAGGCAGTGAACAGAAACAGTGCTTCTCTGGGGGACAAGCAGAAAAGAAAAAGAAAGAGGGAAAAGCAAGGAAAAGCGGAAGGAAGGAGTCAGTGAGTTATGTTAAGTGGTGCTGTGCTGTGATTAAATAAGAAAGCAGGTAGGAGATGAAGTAGGGCAGGGTGGTTGGGTGAAGGATCGTGACGGGCTGATGGGCAGGACACGGCTCCATTACGCATGCGAGGCTGAGCCCCATGGAGTCGGTGAGTCCCCAAATCTAGATCTGACATGCTCAGAGAAGTGACATTTGAACACAGACCTGCAAACCTTCGGTAGATCTGACGACAGACTGTCCTGGGCAAAAGAAACAGCAAGTGCAAAGCCCCTGAGATAAGAATTTGCCTGGCGCGTTGGAGAGACAGAAGGCGGCCAGTGTGGCTGGGGAGGAAGAGGGCAGAGAACAGATGAGGCCAGTGTGTGCAGGCCCTTGTGGGCTGTGCGGAGGACTGTGGTCTGTACTCTAGAGTGTGCTGGGAGCCAGGGCAGAGTTTGAGCCAAGGGCTGCTGTGATGTGACTGGGGTTTTAAAAGGAGCACATGGGCTGATTTCTGGAGACGCCTTCTCTTCAGCTCCTCTGGGCTCACTCAGGATAACCTGATTGTTTACTTATTCATTCAATGTGCACTGAGTTCCTGCTGTGTGCCAGGCCCTGTACTGGGCACTGACATCACTCCAGAGAGCAACACACATTAGAGTCTAACCTGGGTGGGGGTACACAGGAGATCCTGGAGATCCCCTGGCTGGACGTAGGTTGGTTCATGCTCTTGGATATATAAATATATATATATATATTTATTTAAGATTTATTTATTTATACAAGCACTGGGGCACAGGCCAGTGATGCGGGAGGGTGAGAGAATCCACCAGAGCAGGGAACAGAACAGGTAGAAGGACTGAAATACACTGCTGAGGGGAGCAGCGGGCGAGACAGGAGAGGTCTGCTGCGCCATGTGGGAATCTCCCTGGCCCGCCGGGAATCGAACCGGCGCTGCAGAGGCTGCGGACAGCTTCACAGCGCTGCACTTAACCCGCTGCACCACCGAGCGAGGAGGCCCTCTTGGATACATTTTTTTTTTTGGTGGGCTGCACTGTATTGGAAAGGCTTTTGGAGATTTTTCTTAAAAACTGAGATTTCTGACTTTTGAATTTTTGTTTTTTTGTTTTTTGCACTGGAGATTTGCCCAAACTGGGTCCATACTGTGCAGGGCAAAAGTCGGCTTTGGCAATAGCAGCCCTCCTTGGGCAGGTGGGACCTCAGCATCTCTTCTTACCAGACTGTTTCAGAAGGGTGCGGGCTGTGCTTTGTGGGAAATGCCTGCCT